TCGTCTTTTTTTAGCAGAAAAGTAATTTATTCATTCAGTTACTTTGCAACTAATTATACCTGGCTAACACTGATGGCTAAAAATTTAAAACAATAGTAAAGATGTTTTATAGAGTTACAGTATATATACTCTCAAATTGATAAGCTGGACCCAAATGTGTCATATTATCTTTTTTAACATGGTAAGAATACAAATCCTGTTACAATATGAAGAAAGATATATTAACCACACTTGAGTGCTCACATATTGGGTTTAATGTTGAAATAGTATTACACTTATCCTTATGTCGCTGATTCAGTGTTTCCTATAGAATTTCTGTTGATAAAACTGACATATGATGAAATGTGCCTCATTATCTCCAAAACTATACAGCTCAGACAAAAACAAACAAAACATGCAGTTACTGACAGTAGAAATATTGACCACATCAATCGATTGCTCACTTCTTGGGTTTATTACTGACATCCGTATCTGTATTTGTCATCCTTTTGTTGCTCACTGAGTGTATTGTAGGCTTGAGTAAACTGCTGATGCTTGAGTTTCAGCCTGACAGCAAACAAAAGACAAGGAAAACATCACTGAATTAAACATCTTTACTGTCGTCTTTACACTACTGAAAAGACTAGATTTGTCCACAAGAACTAGGTTTTCCAGAAGAAGTTCATTGACCAGTAAGGCCTGCTAGTGATATACTTTTCAGAGAGTAAAAGTCTAACATGTTTTAGATTTTACAAATATAGTTACAGTTATTTGCAGTGTGGCGTAATCAGAATCAGGAATTCCCTCTTCTTCTTCATTTGTGTTTTCTAGAATATTTGCTTTCCTTCTAGAATTAAAAGACACACGTGCATTAGAAATAACACAGTTAGACAACAATTTATAAAGAAAAGCGTTCATTCTGAATTTCTTTTATATAAAATGGTGCATCTGATAGATTTAGCAATCTGACTGCTTGCAATAAAATGTTTCACAACTCCAATTTGTTTTGTAACCACATGTCTTTACCAACATAACAAAACTCTTTCAAACAGACTGATGGAAAGAGTAATAATAAATGGTGCACAAGTGTTAAAAAAAAGTAATTCCTACCTTAATATAAGCATCAATGAAAACAATGCAACGATGAACACAAGTGAGACTGAAGACAGTGCAATAATCAGAAGAGGTGAGGACTCAGAAACATCTGTTAAAGACAAAAAGTCTGCATTAAATATGTGTATGACATTTCTCAAATATGAAAATCCTCTATAAGTATATATGGTCATCAAGTCTACCAACCTTCAATGTAAATGCTAAATTCTTCAGATAAAGTGTTTGTAAAGTTTCTCAATGAGCAAGAGTAATTTCCAGAGTCTTTAGCAGTGATGCTGTTGAAGATAAGGATTGAGTTTGTCTCTTTCATCAGTTCACCGTTCTTAAACCACTGAACCTCTGATAAATCATCAGTACAATCCAGTGAACAAGTCAAATTCACAGAGTCTCCAGTTATTGTGCTTCCATTTATTCTTGGCTTGGACATGAAGACCTTTAAATCTGTCAGAGAAACACCCTGTATTTGAAATTATTTTAGTAAAAACAAACAAAACAGCAAAACCGTCATGTACTAATGAACTGAATGAACCATTACCATGTACTGAAACTTGCACCCCAGAATATCCTGTCCATTGATCATCACTTGCTGTGATTCTGAATTTATACTCTCCAGAATGTGTCAGATTTATATTGCTGATCAACAGAGAGCAGTCTGAAGTTTTATCACCAATGTATTGAATGTTGTTTTGATTATTGTTGGCTTCGCTATCGAAAACATACGGCCCATCTATGCAGTTGCCATAGTTTGAGTTCATTGAACACCACTGCACCTGCTTTATTTGCCGTGCTCTCCAAATTCGCTTTGGTGGAAATGAAAATGAACAGGCAATAGTGACACTGGATCCTCTCGCAGCACAGATCAGAGGGGGATAATTCACATTCCACTCATCACTGAGCACACCTGCAGCACAGAACACTTCATTTCATACTATGGTTAAATTAAAGGGATGGCTCACACAATAATAAACATTCTGATAACATTTATTCTGTTGAATACGAAAGAAGATATGAAAAATAACCATTGACTCTTATTGAGGTTCAGTGTAAAAAAAAAAAAGTCGAATCAAATGACTTTTGGGTGACACAGTGGCTCGGTGGTTAGCACTGTTGCCTTAAAGCAAGAGCTTGGTTCGAGTCTCAGCTGGCATTTCTGAGTGGAGTTTGCATGTTCCCCCGTTTTCTTGTGGGTTTCCTCCAGGTGCTCCGGATTGCCCCACAGTCCAAAGGCATGCGCTGTAGGTGAATCGAATAAATTAAATTGGCCGTAGTGTATGTGTATGAATGTGAGAGCGTATATGTGTTTCCCAGTGCTGCAGCAGGAAGGGCATCCGCTGTGTAAAACATATGCGGGATAAGTTGGTGGTTCATTGCACTGTGGCAACCTCTGATGAATAAAGGGACTTTAATTCATTAAATAAAAAAAATAAGTTAAAAAATATATATTAAAATAGGTTGAAGCAAAAGAAAATGATTTGTGGTCTTTTGTCAATTTTTTCATTGTTCTTCAACATATCTTGTTTTGTGTTCAGCAGAAAAATGAAATTCATAGAACTTTTGAAACCACTTGAGTTTTGAGTAAATGTAAGGATTTTGTTCTTCCTTTTTTGGTATTATTAAAAGATATAATTAATATATTTATTGTATGTACACAGTGGATATCTATACCAGAAGCTTCAGGGTGGCTTCATCTTAATTAAAATGCTACAGATAAACACATCAAAATCTAAACATAACTGTAATCATGTACCTTTTTAATGTCCCTGAAGAAAAGTAGAACTTAACTTTTGGAATTGTGGCTAATTTACTATATATATTACATTTAATAACTAATGAATTTGATATATCCTTAAAAATGTTTGTAAACTTGCAGCTTTGTCATAATTACAGCAGAAGCACCAGAAAAGTCTTAGCATACACACTCAGAAATAAAGGTAAACTAAATTTGTCACTGGGTGATACCTTTTCAAAAGGTACACTTTTGTACTTTAGTGGGCATTAGTACCTTTAGGGAACACTTTTGTACCTTTAAGGTACTATGTGGCACACATTTGTATTTTCTAGGTATTGAAATGTACCTTTAAAGACCTGTTAGGAACAAAAAAGTACCTTTAAGTACCGTCCCAGTGACAGATTTCGTACCTTTATTTATGAGAGTGTATGGTAAAATATTGAAAATGGTGTATTAATAAGGGTGGACACTTGAGTCAAAAGGCTGAGATTAAAATTTACATAATTTATCAATAAGCAATTACAAAATTCCAAGCAATCCCATGCAAATGTCAACCTGGCTATAGAAAAAAATATTTAAATAGAGAAACTAGGCATTTTTTTGTTTAAGCAAGTATTTTACAGTACTTTAAAAATACTCAAAATTGTCTTTGTCAATGTTTTCAATTAATTATATTTGATTTACCAAAGTCACACAAGTAACAATTTTACATCTGTCACATCCATAACAGAAAAGAGTCACATCCATAACGAAGCTTTTCCCTCATAAATGCAAAAACTGTCAAAAAGTATATATATATATATATATATATATATATATATATATATATATATATATATATATATATATATATATATATATATATATATATATATATATATATAATATATATACATTTTGTTTTAGAGAAAGCAGCTCTTAAGGAATAATTAGGCATTGATTTAATAAGCAATTTCAGTAATAAGCAAATGTAAAATCCATATGAAATTACCATTGTGTATATACAATAAAAATACTGCAGTCTGATATCAGTTAAGTGATTAATTAGAGGAGAAATGGAAAACATGCTTTTGAAAAAAAATTATAGAAAACACATAAAGAAGGTCTTTTCTTACCAGGCAAGATGAGCAGAATAATGAGCAGCATTTTGCTCCACTGCAGAGAGTCATCCAAAGGACACAAAGAGAAATTTAATAAAAGAAGAAGTTAAATGCTCAGATAAATGCTGACATTTATTTCCTAACTCCTTATCACTCTTAAAAATAGACGTTGCCCTTTAGTTCTTTTGAAACTTTCCACTCCACAGAAGCGCTTTATAGTGGAATGATAATATTATTTAGATCTTTAAGATGCTCTTGATTATATTAAGAAAATCGTCCTGTCTACAACATTGATGAGAAAGAAAAATAATTAGGAAAATATTTTGAATAGTGAAGTATTGTGGTGCCCAAACCAATGAAAAATTACAAGGAAAGAAAGAAAGAAATTTCTATATATTCTTAACATGGTGACACAGTGGCCAAATGGTTAACACTGTCGCCAAACAGCAAGAAGGCCGCTAGTTCGAGTCCCGGCAGGGTCAGTTGGTATTTTTCTGTGGAATTTGCATGTTCTCCCTGTGTTCTTGTGGGTTTCCTCTGGGTACTCAGGTTTCCCCCACAGTCCAAACACATGTATAGGTGAATTGAATAAAATTGACCGTAATGAATGTGTGTGAATGAGTGTAAGGGTAATTAGGGTGCTTCCCAGTTCTGGATTGCAGCTGGAAGGGTATCCGCTGTGTAAAACATATGCCAGATAAGTTGGCAGTTCAATCCACTGTGGTGACTCCTGATTAATAAAGGGACTAGTAGCCTAATAAGCTATCTTCTCACTAAATATTTTGATGTGTACATTTTGACAAACCTTTGTTCTTTAAAGTTAAAAAAAAGGTAAAGCTATAATTATAATATTTTTTAGCATTATTATTTTGTATAAATTCTTACTATTAATCTTTGTAGATACATTTCACTATAATAAAGCACAGCGCGTGTGAAAAGTCATTAAATAACAGACACACTAGCTCGCAACACACTGCAAAAGAACCACATTTCCCATAGTCGAGATTCAGATCCCATGACGTCACTTCCGAAAACCGCAATCGCTTCCTGTATGGGTGTAAATGGGGACATGACACAGTCGTTTAGAGCTGTAAAATTGAAAATAAACCTTCCGCGGGTACTTTTCCAAGCGCTTGAACTCTTCAAAACGTTTCTGCTTTAGTCGGCTCAGCGAAATCGGCCGCTGCGATGGAAGCCGTGCCGCGAATGCCGATGATCTGGCTGGATCTAAAGGAGGCAGGAGAGTTTCAATTCAGCCCGACTGTCAAACAGGTGAGGGACCAGACAGGCCTGATCGAGCCGTTCATTTATGTCACTGCTCCTGTACACTCGGAAAATAAACAGAACGGCGTGTTTTGTGTAGGTGATGTGGTCCAAACTGAAGTAGTAAACATGGGCCTTGTTTTTCTCTTTATATGCTCAACCTACAGGCTGCCTGCCTTTAACAAAAAAAGTATGCCATTGTTTATTTACCCTGACATCATTGGAAATCCTTGAGCGTTTACTTCTTCAGCTAACAACACAAAATTAGCTCTTTTAAGGAATTTAGCAACAGAGATACACCATAGAAATGTAAATTATTATTATACTGTTTTAAAATATACATGTATACTTTTCTGAAATTGTGTTATTAAGGAGAAAGTCTGAATCTGTGATCACAAAAGTAATAATAATACTGTATAATAGCTTTTCCTGAGGTAAAGTTGGTTTATATCAGCACATTCAGACTTTCACCTACTTAATATAATTTCAGAAAAGCATTCCTTGCAAGTTCTGAATAGGGAAATCATATTAGGAGCTAATGATTCTCAAAGTACAACATTGTTCGCAGTCAATTAAATGGTGCTAATGTTTTGTAGTCCAACTTGCATGTGATTTGAGACCCTATATTTAAAGTAGCGTGATAACCAATATAAGTATATATAATATAGAACATTTTGAGGGATGTAAACAAAAACAATGGTCCTAACATATTTACTCTATAGCTTCCGAGAATCCAAAAAGAGCCACATATTGATAAATACTGTTATGAAAGCGGTTTTAACATTAAGTTATGATTGAATTGCCTCTTGTTACAGTTATAAAATAGTTTGATAACAAGCAGGAAATGTTTAAGGGCCAATGACATGACCACAATGGTCTATATAAGCTATAACTGAACTAAGGTGTATAAATGTTTTTTATATAATGCGAATATAAAAGCAACTTTACCTCAATATGGCTTTTGTCAGAAATAAAGAGCAACGCCTGATATATTTGTGTATATATTAATTGTATTTCATGACATTTTAAAAGTATTTCTGTCACAAATGACTCGCGTTTTATAATTGTCTCACTGACGCAGAGAGTCATGGGGTTTTGAAAGGCATGAGGGTGAGTAAATTATGAAAATGATAACTTATAATTGATGTAGTGTTGTAAATTATATAATCTTTAAACCAGTCAAATGTCAAATGTACAAACTTATTTATCTTATCTTTTAAAACTTATGTATCTTATCATAATGGCATCCATAACGGAGTACTAACTGAATTTTTTTTATAATTTATAAGTGTGTTGATTCCTCTAGAATGATGTCACTGCTTTTTTATTTTTTATTAATTTTTTTTTTTTTACATTAAAATAGCTGATAACAGTTTAGTTCAGGTCACAATTTACGGTATTTACAAACTATTAATTAACACTACTATCATAAAAAGCCACAGATTGGCTGTTTATTAATAGTTAGTAAGCTAGAAGTTGGGTTTAAGTTTTGGGTAGGATCAGGGATGCAGAATAATATCATACTTTGATATCTTAATAACAGGCAGGTAAAAAGCTGGTAGTTAATGGCATTAATTGTGATCTTCTTGAAATGTTACCATTACTCTATTGTAATTGAATTAAATGACTTTTAATATTAAATTAAAGTTAGCAAAGATGCTTGTTTCCTTATTTCCTTTTAGAAGTAAGGAATTTGTTATCTGCAGCATACTTGAGTGATTTTAGTTATCACATCAGATCCATTCCTATCTAGGTCAAAAGGTTAAGGTCGTTAACAATTGTTGTTTATGTTTATGCATGATAATTGTGGACAGTGTTGTATACAAACAAAAATGATAGAACTATAATACAGGTTCAGACTTTTTGGTAGGCTTCATGTTTTTCTCTTTAATAATAAAATCATATGAGCTGTTTGTAAGTTATATTGTTGCATTAGATTGTATTGTTAGTGTCCAAAAATAGGCATAAAATAAAAATTAATATTTACAATTTTGCACTATTGTTATGTGTACCAAATGTTATTACATTTTACTAAATTTTATTATATAAACAAAATTATAGAACTATGGTAATTGACTGCGTCAATCGGGGGTTCATGAGATAATACAGGTTCTGACATTTTGCTATTTTTCTTCATGGTAAAAAAAAATCCTTTTTTTGTCTCTAGACATTTTTTGTCTAAAATTATAAAATCATATGAGCTGTTTGTAAGTTATTTTATTGTATCACAATGGTATTGTTAATGTCCAAAATTAAAACAATTTCCAATCACCAGTGCATAAATCGTTTTAGAATTTAAAGGACACCTAATTTACCACTTTTACAAGATGTTAGAATGTAACAATCTTTACAGTCTCCAAATAGTGTCTGTAAAGTTTAAGCTCAAAACACCCATCAGATGATTTATTATAGAATCCAGAATATGCCCATTTCGGTGTCTAAATACATTGTAGCTGTTTTGTAGCCTGTGGCTTTAAATCTAAATGAGCTGCTTCTCCCCTACCGTTCTGACGTGCGAGTCTGCTTCTCATCATGCGTTACGTCAGATAAACAGCCGTCAGTGATAGAGACAGACACGGATGAAACTGAAATACAGCTCCTTAGTCAAAAATACTAAGTAAGTTTATTTTATGTATTTGTGGTTGAGCTTATTCAAGCCTTTCTGAAATGATGAGTCACACACAAATGCCATTTGCAGTACACACACACACACACACACACACACACACACACACACACACACACACACAAGAACTACATATAACTACTTAAGAACTACATAGCGATTTTACTGTCTTTAATACAAACATACTCTGTATTAAAAATGTTTTAAACTTATAAAACTTAAAAAACTCATACAGAGTTTGAACAAATAATTGAATTCAATTTTATTTGCTAAAAAATGCGGATGTGTATATATGTTATTACAGAAACACGGCACCTGCCAATCAATTCAATGGGTGGGCAAAACCGCACTCATACGTCACATTTCGGTGAGAATTTAAAATCACTGGAAATTGCATTCTATTTTAACGTCAGGAAATTTAAAAAAAAAAAAAAAAAAAAAGACTTATTCGGTTTATATCCCTCCAATATGACAGAGGACACACTATACACACAAACACAGTTCTGTCTAAACAGCTTACAAAAGTAAAAAAATGTTATCATAGGTGCCCTTAAAAAAATAATGGCATGTAATAAAAATAAATATTACAAGTTTTGCGCTTTTTTATGTGTATCAAATGTTATTACATTTTACCAAATGTTATAATATTAATTTCATTATGTATTTGTATTACTTTACTTTCTGAATTTTTCCCAAGTATAAATTTATCTTTAGATTCACCACACAATTACATCAGCGTTCACATCACACTTATCACAAAAAACAAGCAACACAAATACATTCAAAATCACCACATAAGTCACATAAAAACTCAATTAATCCTGTTCCTTTTTAAAATGCAAATGGCAGTCGGCACAAAAGACATTTGGTGCACATTTTTCTTTACTTGAGGTTGCCTAACATGTTTTTTGATGGAAAAAGCTGACATTTTAATTTTAAAGGATGGAACAATCTTCAATAAAGATATGTGCTTTATGTTTAATTCTTATTTAATAAATTTAATTTAGTTGTCTTTGTGCTTTACCTACAATTGCCCTGTATATTTTTACTACCAATACATTTGTATTTCATTTAATGATCTTATTGGTTGGCCAAGTATAGAAACACTTTCTCTAACGGATAAATCCTTATCAGCTAAACTTTAACTGCCATTTGCTTTTTATCTTTTCCCAGTTCATACTGAAGAACTATGGTGAGGATCCTGACAATTACAATGAGCAGCTAAAGAAACTGGAGCAGCTGAGACAGGTTAGTCTTACAGTGTACCATTTTAATCAGTAAGTACATCTTCCCTGGAAAATATCCTTGGCATTGCTAGCATCATGCTCTACCAGTTAAGCAACTAAGAGAAGTTTATGATCTTGGCATTCCTAAATTCTCCGCATTGTCACGTCTTTCCAGAGTGCTGTAAACGTCACACGAGACTTTGAGGGCTGCAGTACGTTGAGGAAGTACTTCGGGCAGCTGCATTATCTTCAGAGTCGTGTGCCTCTGGGATTGGGCCAGGAAGCTGCTGTTCCTATTTCCTGGTAAGGGCATCAAACCATGCGCTTCAATATGCTGACAACTCGCACAAATCAGTTTGCATTGAAATAACTCATCGCCCCTGTTTGCATCTAAAAACCGTTTTCCCAACCTTCACTTGTTCCAAAGCTGTTTGAGTTTTTTTTCTGTTAAACACAAAGGTACTGTAGATGTACAGAACTTTGGAAAAAAAACATTCATACAGTCATTGACTTTCATGGTATTTTTGTCCAAACTCAAGGTTTGGAACAAGCAGAGGGTTAGTAAACGTTGACAGAATTTTCATTGTTAGGTGAACTATCCCTTTAAAATGTTTAATTGAACAGCTTATTAAGCATAATTTGGCTAAGAGTATGCATGTAAAGACATTATTTCTATTTCTTCCTCAAATACTGACTTTTAGTGCTCACTTTTAAGGCTTGTGCACACCGGGATGATTTTTTTCTCACGCTTATTGTTGTTGTTTTTTGTGTTCTCTCCCAAGAGCCAATCTCATTGGTCAACCAGTTTTAAATGCATCTTGTCAAACCAAAAATAACAAATCCAAGGAATTTTTAAAATGCTTTTATGCCTGGCTTGATTTTTTTTTACTCATGATTTTTGCACAATGGTTTGCATGCTCACATTAATGATCCTTGTTTAATCATAAGGTGTTAAGCGTTGGTGATAAGTGTGTGCAAAAATCGTCTTGATGTGCACAGGCCTTTACTTTTACCGGCAATATGACTATATACAGTTGAAGTCAGAATTATTAGCCCCTCTTTGAATTTTTTTCTTTTTTTTATATATATATTTCTTTAAATGGTGTTTAACAGAGCAAGGACATTTTCACAGTATGTCTGATAATATTTTGTCTTCTGGAAAAAGTCTTGTTTTATCTTGGCTAGAATAAAAGCGGTTTTAAAAATTTTTAAAGACTATTTTAAGGGCAAAAATTATTAGCCCCTTTAAGCTGTATTTTTTCATTTATTACCATTATACAATGATTGCCTAATTACCCTAACCTGCCTAGTTAACCTAATAAACCTAGATAAGCTTTTAAATAAAATAAATCAAGATAAAATAAATCAGTTATTTGAAAAGAATTATTAAAACTATTATGATTAGAAATGTGTCGAAAAAATCTTTTAAACAGGGGGGGTAATAATTCTGACTTCCACTTAATAATTTTTCATAATTTATATGAACATAATATTATATACCAGTGCGAAAATGCAGACAGAAACGTGAATGACAGCATGTCACATGAGAAAGTTGCAAGAATTCTTGAAGGTGCCATGTTTACATGTTGTATTTTTAGCGATAATTTTTGTTTTTATGTTGAAATCATTCATTTTTTGAAGTGCTTTATATATATAATATAATATATTACATATATATATATATATATATATATATATATATATATATATATATATATATATATATATATATATATATATATATACACACAGTATATATACACAGTATATATATATATATATATATATATATATATATATACATATACACATATACATTTTATATATGTTACTCAAAGCTACTGTTAGATACCTGAAAAACACTTTATCTTTGCTATATTGTATTCATTTTGTTTTGTATTTTGCTTATAGACTTTTCTTGATTTTTATTTGACTGTCCTGTTTTTTACTGAACATATATTCTATACCATACTGACCCTAAAAGCAAAAGAAAACCATAAACATTTAAAGTCTGTATTGTTGCCCCTAATTTCAACATTTTTAATCAAATATTTGCCCTCAAGTGAGAAATATGATCACAGGAATGAGTACGTTTCTCAGTATGTGAATAGTTCTTTTCATGTGGTCAGTATAATAAATCTATTGATTGATTGATTGAAATGATCTTATATTATGATATTTATCATTATCAGGATATGAGATTATGTATATGATGTGATAATTTTGTTATATCTTAGGACGGAGATATTTTCTGGGAAGACGGTGACCCATGAGGACATCTGCTATGAGCAGGCCTGCATCCTTTATAATTTGGGTGAGTTAGCATGAGACCGATACGTCAATGAGCGCATTGTCTGAGAGTGAAATAAATCCTGTGAGGTTGAGAAAAGGGTATTGTTGAAAATCAGGCTTGTTTTGCTGATTCAAGTCATGTTTTCACGCCTCTAGGAGCACTTCATTCAATGCTGGGAGCCATGGACAACAGGGTGTCCGAAGAGGTGAGCTGAACTACAGAAGACACAGCATGGACTAATTTAAATGTCATGTGATTTACTGTCGCAACCGACCGTAAGTCACACTGTGTTGAGAGGAAAGTGGTACATGTAACAATTCTTGCAATTCAGAAGTCATTTAAAGTCATTTTATCTCACTAAAAAAATCTATAACATGTAATTTTATTAATATATGGATAAAAATAATGAATAACTACAAATAGTTTGGCATTATATGAGGTATGGCCATGCAATGGCGCAGTTGGTAGTGCTGTTGCCTCACAGCAAGAAGGTCGCTAGTTCAAGCCTTGGCTGGGTCTGTTGGCGTTTCTGTGAGGAGTTTGCTTGTTCTCCCTGCATTAGCGTCGGTTTCCTCTGGGTGCTCCGGTTTCCCCCACAGTTGAAAGACATGCGGTACAGGTGAATTGGGTAAGCTAAATTGTCCGTAGTGTATGAGTGTGAATGGGTGTATGTGTGGATGTTTCCCAGAGATGAGTTACGTCTGGAAGAGCATCTGCTGCGTAAAAACGTGCTTGAAAAGTTGGTGGTTCATTCCGCTGTGGTGACCCCGGATTAATAAAGGGATTAAGCCGAAAAGAAAATGAATTAATGAATATATGAGGAATTGGGATTTTATTTTTGCACTTAACTTTATATTTATTTATATTTTATGAATTATTTATATTTTCAATCATTTAAAGTAGTTGCAATGGATTGGCGAGGTGTTTTTGAACTTTGTGAAAAATGGAGATATGGAAGAAGCTTTGGAAGTCAGAAGTTGTGGAATGTGAATTGGTTCTTGATTAGAATTCTTCTTTATTTTAATTATTTATTAATTTTTATATTATTTTTATTTTTAATTTTTTTTTTATATGAGAATTATAATTTAATTTAGATTTTTTTCCTAAGGGTCTGGGGTATGTTTGGAGTAATGGGGATTGAATAATTGTAAAACCTTGAAAAAAAACTCTAAAGACATGTTATACAAAGTAGTTGCAATGATAACAAAGTAGTGGCTTTGTGCGATGTTCACGAAATAGACGGGTTATCAAAATAAACAAATGTTAAAATGCCGGACATGTTTTGGGTATTCTGAACAGTTGTAATTTTAATGGAGAGAGATCTGATTGTGAGCTTGTAATTTATTGCTAGAAAGAGGCAAAGTTTAGGCAGAGTAAGTGATTGAAGTCCATATCATTATGGTGTTTCAATTTAAAATGTCAGTCAGTTAAGTACTTTTGTCATTCAAATGTACGTATACACAGAATAGAAATAACCTAAACAATAAACAGTATAAAATAACAAAATGTATATTTAAAAAGTCATATGCATAGTTGCTGACTGACGATCCTTACTGTCAGGCGGATCTACAGTGTAGAATGGATCTACAATCCAAATGATCATGTGTTAACAATTCAACATGCACAAATCATTCAGATTTATGTATTAAGAAAATAGTCGCACCTTCTAATTTCTGCCTAATTTCTAATTTCTAATCGTACAACATTTTAGACTATACACTATATAAACATTTTAGATAATATCCAAGCTAATTTTGGGATAATATCTTGTTTTCGTGCATGACACCAGATTGAGAAAGCACTGTAAAGATTTGTGGGCAACATTCATCAGAAAGTCAGCAAGCAGATTGTGGGCAGTCTGTGGGAGTGTTGTGAGGTTGTGACTAAGTGGAAAAAGGTTGCGAATTCATAAACGTACAAGTTTCAGCCCAATATGTGAACAAATCTGAAACCATATTCATAATAAATTAATTGTGGCATTGTCCAAAAATATTAATTGTGTTAATCATAATCTGTTTTTGCTACTTTCTCTCTCTTTCTCAATTAGGGAATGAAAGTGTCTTGCACACATTTTCAATGCTCTGCTGGGGCGTTCGCTTACCTGAGAGATCACTTCAGCCACAGCTATAGCGTGGACATGAGTCATCAGATCCTTAACCTCAACATCAACCTCATGCTGGTATGCTACTGTGCTAGTTTTCAGTCAAAAAGCCTCTTACGTATTCTTTTCATTTGTTGTGCTTCAAATTTGGGCTGAACTTTCAATTCTTCTTTTTCAGGGTCAGGCCCAGGAGTGCCTGTTGGAAAAATCTATGCTGGACAACAGGAAGAGCTTCCTTGTTGCTCGAATAAGTGCCCAGGTACTTTTGTTTTACCATTAAGTATCTTGAATGAAATGAATGGGGAATCAGTATTCACTACTAGGTTAATAAACTAGGGATGTAACAATATTGTAAATACGGACATACCGCAATAGAGATTTTTTTTAATATTACCGTAGGCGCATGACTCAATAAATCTATATTTCTGAGAAAAGTTTGCTTAGGCGATTGAAGCGAACAGGAGGTAGCGGGAACTACAATTCCCATCAGCCTAGGCGTGGCCATCATCCTTTGCGGTCTGTTGTCACTACAGATCCAGTAATGCGGAAATGGAGTGTGTGAACCTAAAGCGGGTTTTAAATCGGATGTGTGGCAGTATTTCGGTTTCTTTCTAAAAAGATAAGAAAAAGGAGAAAAGGTGACAGACAAAGAAAAAAACGGTATGCAGGCACTGCCAGACTGTGGTGAAATATAAGTTGGGGAACACGACTAAAAACAGTCATGGGGACTGCAGAACACAGCACACTTGTTAGATTGATGCAGACATTGACTTGTACCGTAAAGAGACCTCTATCTCACTCATGGCTTGTCCTCTCAAGTGGTGGAAAGACAATGCACAGCATTACCCACTGCGGTCAACCTTGGCTAAATCATATCTCTCTGTCCCAGAAACCTCAGTCCCAAATGAGAGGGTTTTTTTCTGTTGCAGGGGACATTGTAAATGCCCAGAGATTCCAGCTTTTGCCAGTTTATATTTATATGATAATAAAAAAAAAAATCCCATCTCTATCCAAGTGAGTGAGTGAATAAATATTTAATGTGATGAGTTTTCAACAATACTAAATTGAAACTTTATTTTTTTTACATGGTTTTATAGTTTTTTGTTATTAAAATTGAAAAATTGAAGTTCCTGTTTCAAAACTTACAGATAGATGGCTAATTTGTATGTCATTGATATGTTCAGTGCTAAGGTAAATAAGTACTTTTGGCACTTTTTTCGAGTCTTTTCATTAGTTTTGTTTTCCTGTAAATTACTCAATAAATACCATGCCGTGCCATTCATACTGAGGTATTACCGTACAGTGAAATTCTGATACCGTTACATCCCTATAATAAACCGCTAATTAGCTGTTTATTAATAGTTCATTGGGTAGAAGTTAGTTTTAGGTTTTGGGTAGGATTAGTGATGTAGAATAAGGTCATAGTTTATAACTACTAATGAACATTTTACATTTCATCTCAAAATTACAGTCTCAAAATTATAATATGTCTTTTTGTTTTAGGTGGTAGATTATTACAAAGAGGCATGCAGGGCTTTGGAGAACTCTGAAACCGCTTCGATGTTGGGAAAGATCCAAAAAGACTGGAAGAAATTAGTGCAAATGAAAATTTACTACTTTGCTGCCATTGCTCATGTGAGTCTCTTGTTTGAAACTGAGCTTGGATGAACTACAAAGCAGGCCGGCCAAATGTGTATGTGGATGTTTCTAAGAAAGTCACACTAAATCCTATTTCTTTCAACAGTTGCATATGGGGAAACAGGCTGAAGAGCAGCAGAAGTATGGAGAGAGGGTATAAATGCCTGTTTTTCTGTCTTCATTTTCATTTAGTCACCATCTTTGCTGTTTGTCTAGGAGAACTTCATCTCTTTGTTTAAAGATCTATTTCTTAAAGGACAAACAGAGATGCTTCTTGTAGTTAACGTCTAAAGTTATACAAATCATTTAACTTCACATTTTTGCTTACAAATGTATTTTTTCCAATAGGTGGCTTACCTTCAGAGCTCACTAGACAAACTCGGTGAGGCAATTAAACTAGCTAAGGGTCAGCCAGACAGCGTACAGGAAGCCCTGAGGTTTACTATGGACGTCATTGGGGGAAAGTAAGCATATGATGGTTAAAGACATCATTTTGTCTTTATATAAAGTCACATGAAACACAGCGGTTGCCGCTGCTAATGTCATTTCTATTTTTAGATTTAATTCCGCCAAAAAAGACAACGACTTTATTTACCATGAATCTGTGCCATCTCTGGAGACGCTGACCTCGGTGAAAGGTATTTTGACAATTCTTGTTGTAGTAACCCTGTAATTACATGGAGATCACTTTCATTACTTGCATTGCATTACTAGAATTACTTAAGATTATCTGTGTGTGAACAAGACAAAGAATTCAGTAGGAGTAAGAAAGTAAGGGGAAAGATTTAAAACTGTCCCAAGAGTTAACACTGTTTTGCATTCATCACAGGTGCCCCGCTGGTGAAAGCCTTGCCTGTAAACCCAACAGACCCCAGTGTCACCGGCCCAGACATTTTTGCAAAGCTGGTGCCAATGGCTGCCCATGAGGCCTCCTCTTTATACAGGTTTGGCTCAAGTGCTTATAATTCATAACCAAGGACTATATATCCTAAAATATAAACTTCTTTTGAAACACCCATTCTCTATTTCTGAAAAATGTTTCGATGTGTTAGCATTAAAAATGTATTTCTTTTTTCTCAAATTTTATAGTGAAGAGAAGGCCAAGTTGCTTCGAGATGTCATGGCAAAAGTAGACAACAAGAATGAGACATTAGAGTGAGTGAAAACAACTTTTATATCTATACAGTTGAAGTCAAAATTATTATTATTATAATAAATATTAGAATTTAAACTTAACAGGAGGGCTGATGATGATTTTGACTTAAACTGTGTGTATTTATGTGTAATGGAGGCCAGCTAGCGGAGTGCTATGCAAGTAAACCTCACTCCTCTGACCTCTAAAGGCCATGGTCTTTAGCCTCCTTGTTAGAGCAATCGACTCCTATACAAAGAATTACTGGTTCGATCCCCGCTCAGACTGGATTGGGTGCAGTAGGACTTGTGGGTTACACTTGGGGGCTCGTCCGGGCTGAGATTGAGGTTTAGGGGGGGTGAATATAACGGAGGCCAGCAGATGAAGTGCTATGCAGCTAAACTTCACTCTTTTGACCTCTAAAGTTGCTGTAGCGCCAGACGCTGGAGGCCATGGTCTTTAGCCTCCTTGTTAAAGCAACCGACTCCCATACAAAGAATCACAGGTTCGATCCCAGCTCAGACCGGGTTGGGTGCAGTTGGACTGGTGGGTTACATTTGTGAAAAAGCAGATAGTATGAATCTAAATATCTCAATTGTCACACTTCTACAGACAGTTCATGGACTCTCTTGGTTTGGACCCAGAGTCAGTGGACAATATGGAAATGTATAATACCCTTCCGACTGTGCTGATGGAAAAATGTGCAGCACTGAGTGTGAGACCTGATACTGTAAAGAACCTCATCCAATCAATGCAAGGTAAGTGATTCTTACTTTAGCTTTAATATTCTTAGTTTGATCAAGAAGCTTTTGAAAATGTAGACATTTTCCTGATGCTTACTACATTTATCCTCTCTCTCCAGTCCTCTCGGGTGTGTTCACTGATGTGGAAGCCTCTCTGCGAGAAATTCGAGATGTCTTGGATGAGGATGAGACAGAGGAGCAAAGCTTAGAAGAGGCTGTCGGGAAGCAGGCTGTACCAGAACGGCCGTCGACCCTAGCTGAGCTGCGGAGGGACCTGGAAAAATATTTAGAAGCCCATGAAAAAGCTAGCTTTACCAACACAGAACTTCATCGGGCCATGAATCTGCACATTAGCAACCTGAGACTCCTCGGTGGTCCACTGGACACTCTTAGAGAGGCATTGCCAAGACCTCAACTCAGTGAGGGTAGGTGTTCTGTAATAACCTAATTTGGATGAAATATTGTGCTATACAATTTTTAAGCATTAAATTTTTTACACTTTTAGATGAGATGGCAGGTCTCCAGACTATGAAAAGAATTTTGGGTAAAGTGCAAGAGATGCGGGACCAACGAAGTTCTCTCGAGAAACAGCTTAGAGACCTTATTCAGCAAGATGACATCACTACTGCTTTGGTCACGACTGAGCGTGCTGACATGAAGGTATTGGCTTCACATGACTGTGGCACTATGTTTTTAAGCGATCATATTAGAAATGTGTTACTATGCATTGTAGTTTCACAACTTTGCTCACTTTTCCCTCATAGAAACTGTTTGAGGAGCAGCTTAAGAAGTATGAGCAGGTCAAAGTATACATTGATCAGAACCTGGCAGCTCAAGAGAATATCCTGAAGGCACTGACAGAAGCTAATGTACAGTATGCCACTGTTCGGAAGGGCCTGACAGAAACTGAACACAAGTATGTCTTGAGGGATAGCACTTTAGTAGGGATGTAACGGTATTGTAAATGCTGGCATACCGCAATAGCATTTTTTTTTTTAATATTACCGTAGTCGCATGACTCAGTAAAACTATAGGTCTTCTGTGAAAATTTGCTCAGGCGAATGAAGCGAACGGGAGGTAGCGGAAACTACAATTCCCATCAGCCCAGGCGTGGCCATCATCCTTTGCGGTCTGTTGTCGCTACAGATCCAGTAATGTGAAAATGGAGTGTGCTGCTAGTAGCGGGGATGAAAAAGAGCTGGAAATGATCGAACCTAAAGCGGGTTTTAAATCGGATGTGTGGAAGCATTTCGGTTTCTCTATAAAAAGAGGGGGGGTTGGGGGTGTTGTTGTTGATGCCGTGCGCGTACTGAATTGCGTTGTTGTCGCGTCGGGCGGGATGAAGGGTGTGTCGCGTCGCAGGGGCACTTTTGATCATTTTGGAAGGGCACTTTCTATCCAAGACTTAAAAGGGAAGTTGGGGAATACGACTAATAACAGTCATGGGGACTGCAGAAACATAGCACACTGTTCAAATTGATGCAGACATTGACTTGTACCGCAAAGAGACCTCTCTTTCATCTTGTCCTCTCAAGTGGGGGAAAGACAATGCACAACGTTACCCACTGCGGTCAACCTTGGCTAAGTCATATCTCTGTCCCAGAAACCTCAGTCCCAAATGAGAGGGTTTTTTTTCTGTTGCAGGGGACATTGTAAATGCCCAGAGATCTCAGCTTTTACCAGATTATAGTTATATGATCATTTTCCTTAAAACCCATTTCTATCTAAGTGAGTGAGTGATTACATTTTGAATGTGATGAGTTTTCAACAATACTAAATTGAAACTTTATTTTTTTACATGGTTTTATAGTTGACACTTTATATCATTTACACTTTTGGCACTTTTTTGGAGTATTTTCATTAGTTTTGTTTTTCCTGTTAATGATTCAATAAATACCGTACCGTGCCATTCATACCGAGGTATTACCGTACTGTGAAATTCTGATACAGTTACATCCCTACACTTTAGTATGACAAATATAGAAAAACACTATCAATTGATGCATCATCATAATGCTTTTAAATGGTTGCTTTTTTTTTTAGATGGAACAGCACTGTGCAGATGCTTGTGGCATCCTATGAAGCCTATGAAGATCTAATGAAGAAATCTCAGGAGGGCAAAGAGTTTTATGAAGATCTTGAAACAAAAGCTTCTCGCTTGTTGGAGAAATCCAAGACTGTCTGCAAGGCCCGAAAGGAGGAGAGACAAGCAATTACTGAAAGGTAACTTAGGAATATATCCCCAGTCTATTCATGTTTCTGTCTCATTCACAAATAAAACTTGTAATGTGTTACCTATTATTTAGACTCTGCTTAATTTCTGACAGAGAGCTCAAGAAAAAGGCTCCTCAAAGACCCACTGCCCCAAAGCCTGCCCAGAACAAAGGCCAAAATATGGGTCCTTCAATTTCAGATGACCCTGAACTGGCTGAGCTGAGTGCTGCTATCCTAGCCCTTGGTGGAGATCTCCCAGAAGAACTACGCAGCCTGCCTCCTGAACTCACCATTCCGTCATCTGCTCATCCAGTTTCTGGAGCTGCTCCTGGCTCTGTTCTGCGCTGGCCTGGAGCTAATTCAACCTTACACTATGGGCAGCACCGTTTTCCCCAAAATTTACCACCCCCTGAAGTTCTTGCTCAAATTTCTCGTTTTCCAACACCCCCTCTGTCTCAGAGTTTCAGTCCCAGTGTTCCCCAGCCTTCTCTAATGCAGCAACAGTTTCCACAGATGCCTAACCCTCAGGTCCTTCCTCCACCACCTGTGTCTGGGTACCACCCTCAACCTTCACAAAATCAACCTGGTCCATCAGTTACTGCAGTTCGTCCTTCCACTACTACAGTGGATAGCATTCAGACACCAATTACTAGCTACAGTCCTGCATCTGCCCAGGCAGTTATGCCTTCTCCTGGCCAGCACCAAGTGCCGCATCCCATTTCTTCTGTATATGCAACTCCACCTCAGATGGCACCCCATGTCCAGTACATGCAGCAACCTGGTGTTCCAATGAGTCAGCCCCCACAGGCAATGCCAGCCCCTCATCCACAGCCTCAACCTCAAGTATTTGCTCAACAAGGGGGTCAAAACCAACCACAGCCATTTTATCCACAAGCCGTTTTACCAAGTCAACAGCAAATGCCAAGACCTTTGACAGGGTCGCAGCCTTCACAGCATACTACACCTCAATTTCCACAATACATAAGACAACCAGGACCACCAAACTTTCAGCAACCTCAGATGCAAGGACAGTTTAGAGCACCACCTTCCCATGCTCCACCCCATCAGGGATATCCCCCTGTTTCATTTGTTCCAAAGGCCCCACTTCCACAAGTTAACACTATCAACCCAGGCCAGATGTCCCATTCTGGCGTTAGTCCACAAATGCCACTATCTTCCCATCCAGTTCCCCCTGTGTCAATGCCACACTTGGCTCATGTTAATCAGCATATTCCTCCATCCTCCCAGCCAGTGCCCTCAATGTCAATGCCACATTTAGCACGTGTTAATCTGCAAATTGCCCCATCCTCCCAACCAGTGTCCTCTGCCTCAATGCCACACTTAGCACATGTCAGTCAACAGATTCCTCCTGCTTCACAGCCCCAACCACCTCCTGTTAATCATTTGTCTCATCCTCCTCACCGTCAGATACACCCATCCTCTCATCATTTAGGCCCCACGCCTCATATGCAGATACCTGCTGCCCCAACACAGATGCCTCCTCCCCAACAGCCTCAAATGCATGCATCATCCACTCACATGTCTCCTCCTCATCCACAGATGCCCTCAGTCTCTCAGCCACCACCTCACTGCCCCCAATCCCATATAATTCCTGCTCATCAACCAAATCAACAACCACCATACCCAGCAGTTCCAATGCAGGCTACTGTTCCTATTCAACCTCAGGCACCCCATGGCTCACTCCCTTCACAAGTGCAAATACACCCTAACACTCCTTCACAGCATCAAAACCACCCTCATCCTCAAATCATTCCCCAGTCCTGTCCTCCAGCTCTCCCTCACAATATGTACAAACCTCAGCCAACTATTACACCTATCTCTGCACCTATGAGTTTTCCAGGAGGTGTCCCTATGGTTCCCCATCAGTCTGTGCCCTCTCTGCAACCTCAGTCTCAGCCACCCTCTTCAAAGCCTTTAGTCCCACAACAGCTTCCCCCAGGAGGACCAATATCTTATGCTGTTCCACAAGTTGGGAATATTCCCCCTGGAGCAATGCAACATCCCGTTGCAACTGCTTCCCCTGGGCCACAAAGCATGATACCTCCATCCTCAGGAGCACCAGGGGCACCACAGCCCCATGTATTGCCTTCTCCTGCTCCGTCACCTTCTCCATCTCCTGGTCCTCCCTCCCTTGGTATGACCACACAGAGACCATCTCCTGCTCTTACACCAGTTGGAGGAGCAGCAATGCCACAGTCTTCTGTTCAGGGTCCAGCACCCACTGGTACCATGCCTCAACCTGACTCCACATTGTTTCAGCGACAGAACTCTAGTACTGATGATTTGCTCTCCTCAAGTCCTGAGAGCCAGCATGGAGGCACAAAGGACACCGCCTGTGTCTTATTACCAACCAAAGCTGATCCCCAAGAGGAACATCACAGAAAAAAAGCAGAGGGTGTGAGACTTATTCAGGGTGACCCTTATCAAGCACCAGAGAGGGTTTCAAAACTCAGCGCACAGCTTGAGAGATTTCGTTCAACCGTCCAATCCTTAGAGCGCCCAACAGGGGAGGGTGGTCTGTCCGAACTTGATGCTCAATGGAAAGAATTGCAGGAGCAGCAGGAAAAGGATACTCGGCAGCTCTCCATTGCTATTGCTCGTTGCTACACTATGAAGAACCGCCATCAGGATGTGATGCCTTATGACTGCAATCGCGTTGTCTTGCATTCTGGTAAAGACGATTATATAAATGCCAGTTTCACTGAGGACCTATCTCCATATTGCCCCCGGCTCATTGCAACACAGGCTCCCCTCACCGGCACTGCAGCTGACTTCTGGCTAATGGTTTATGAGCAGAAGGTTTCTGTAATCGTCATGCTAGTGTCTGAGCAAGAACTAGAGAAGGTAAATGTTTAATGTTAATGGATTTTTTGGTAATTTCTACAATCTCGTTGGCTTTTCAAGCAATTTCAAATAATGTGCAATGTTTCTTTTTATCCCCAGCAAAAAGTATTGCGCTACTTTCCATCAGAGAGAGGCCAGCAACTTGCTCAGGGGCCAATCACCCTTACACTGACCACCCAGAAGAGCACTCCTACACACATTGAACGCATGATAGGACTGCAGTATCGGGACCAAAGTCTAAGACGCACCGTTGTGCACCTTCAGTTTACATCATGGCCTGAACTGTAAGGGACTTTTTTTATACATGATAAGAGTATACCAACATATTAGAAGTTCTATTTTTCATTAAAAAATCATATTTATTTTTAAAAGGGGCCTTCCAGAGAGTAAAAGCAACCTTATCCGCTTCATTCAAGAAGTGCATGGACATTATCTGCTTCAGCGTCCATTACACACTCCTGTTGTGGTGCACTGCAGGTACCACACATCAAGCATATTTTAAATACTAAAGAGTAGAAAAGAACAAGACATTTGCTATTTTTCCCTTTTCTTTTAGTTCTGGTGTTGGCCGCACTGGAGCCTTCTGCCTGCTTTATGCAGCCTTACAAGAAATTGAGGCAGGCAATGGTATACCTGACCTGATCCAACTGGTGAGGAAAATGAGGCAGCAGAGGAAGAACATGCTGCAAGAAAAGGTAATAGTTCACCTGGATATATTTAAAATCTTGTGCTGTTGTTCATTTGATACAAAAGAACTTTTGTTTAAAAATGTCCACAGCTTCACCTCAAATTTTGCTACGAGGCCGTTCTTAAACATACAGAACAGGTTCTTCAACGTCACGGCATCATTACATCACCTTGCACCAGGACCCCAAACAACATTACACTAAAGGTAAACCACTTATTTGCTCAATTGTCTGTATGAAAACCAAACAACAGTGTGATTTTGTTCATCTAATATTTCTAATCTTTGTAGTCATACTCGCGACAGGAATCTCAAGACATTGTTCTGGGAGGAGACATGCCTATTAGCTCTATACAGGCTACTGTTGCCAAACTAAGCATTCGACCACCAAGTGTTGACCATGAGCAGGAGCCCAGCCAGGATCAAATGCCCTTTACTTCAGAAGTGGCAGGTTTAGGGGAACCAGATCCCACAGATGTGCCACTTCAACCATCTCAGGACCCTCTTTGTTGTGAAACTATGCCTGATTCCATCAGTCCGCCCCTCTCTTGCACTTCTTCTCCAGGCAAGACACAATCACCTTCACCTCCTAGTGGTCAAGGAAATGGGTTTAACGGGTCTACTCCTGCCTCTCCTGTCTCAAATCACCACCCGTCCAATGAAGCAACACCTCGTGGGCCTTCTCCACCCACATCCTCCTCTTTAGATCTGCTGGCTTCTCTTACACCTGAAGCCTTCACACTGGACAGTGCCCATCGAGGCAAGCAAAGGATTAACAAGCAAAGCTTCCTACAGCCACAAGAAGGCAAAGGCCTGCAGGGACCTCCAGAGGGCGATGATCCACTCAGTAGTTTGGATCCTCTGTGGACTCTTAACAAAAGCTGAAACAACACAACACAAGTCTCTTTTATCTTCTCCCCCACAGGCAGTCCTCTTTTGAATCGTTTCAGACCCCGTGAACCATCTTGTTCATGTCTATTGGACCTCATCACTGTGTGTCTGCTTGTGTCCTGATAAGTCTATTCTGTCGGCACTTTTCCAGCACTGATCCTGGTGTTTCAGGTTACATTCCGTAAATCCAGTCTTGTCTCCTAGCATGCACTCCTAATGCCATGTTGTTTGTGATTGCCTGTAAGGTGCCTGAGTTTGGTTCTGTTGCAGTTGGCTTTTGCCTGTACACCAAAAGACTGAGAGTGGATAAAGTATGATAGAAACTGACACCCAAGAAAGCTTATAAACTATCTGACTGAGCGACTGTCTGCTCACCCTTTGTACACATGCTGCTTGCACTGTGGGTTGCATATTATTAGTCACTGCACCTGTCCTTGAGCTACAGTGATCTGCGACTTGTATGTAGGGACAGATTGAAGCTGGTGATGAAAATACTACTTGATATGTCTTGATGTACTCGTCATACTTACAAAACACTCACATTTCTGAATCTCTTCAGAAATCATAGCATTTTTATGAGTTGATTCTAACTTGTCATTCTTTGAACTGTGTAAATAAATCTTAACAAATGTCAACATCTTGTTGTATTGAGTTTTTTTTTTTTTTATTAAAATATAATATATAAGGGGGGGGGGGACGTTGTGGCTTAGTGGTTAGCACTGTCACCTCACAGAAAGAAGGTCGCTGGTTCAAGTCCCGACTGGGCCATTTGGTGTTTCTGTGTGAAGTTTGCATGTTCTCGCCGTGTTTGCATGGATTTTCTCCAGGTGCTCCGGTTTCCCCCAAAGTCCAAGAACATGCAATATAGTTGAATTGAATATACTAGGCTGTAGTGTATGGATGTTTATCAGTACTGGGTTGCAGCTGGAAGGCATTCACTGTTTAAAGCATATGTTGGCGGTTAATTCCCCTGTGGTGACCCCTTATGAATAAAGGGAATAAGTTGAAAAAAATGAATGAATATTATATAAAGGGGACACTTCAGTCTTCTGTAGACCAAAAGCAGAAAGTCTGGGCTCCCAAAGGTAAATTGAACTTGTAAAGCAAGCAACCAATCAGATGTTTTGTTCATGATTGGGACAGTGAAAATGTTGAAAAAGTGAATTTAATACACTACAAACTTGCATGTATATCTACATTTACCTCAAGTAAACAGTTGTAAAGATGATGGTTTTCTCTTGCATGAAGGGATTTGGGATTGGATGCTCAGGTTGTGAATTTTAGCACTCAAGTCAAAGGCCTTAAAAACTGACTTCCTTGCATCGCCCCACCATTCTCTATCTGTATCTTAAAATTATTCATCCATCACTGAGCATTTTGAGGTGGGGGTAAATACAACTTGCGATAAAATCACAATAGTTTTGTGTGGTATATGGAGCACGCAGTGCCTATAGAAAATTATCATACCGAATGAAAACGTCCAGGAAAATAAAATAAATGGTCTAACTTTGTTAGCTGCATTTAAACATTATAATCCTCATCATTAATGTACAAATATAATTGAAATAAATGCCAAAGGATTAATCAGTGAAATGCCTGGGTTTGGTAAAGTGATCGTCCCTTTGGAGTAAAACATTATAAACTTGCTCTGGTGCAAGCAATCACCTCCAAAATTAAGCTCCAGGTGACATCTGACATCAGTAGGAGAGGTGTTGATTTCTTGGGGATAAAAGCTGTTTTTTTTTTTTAAGGCTTGTTTAAAAAAAGCCTCTGTTAATAGTGCATGGTACTGCAAAGAATTCATAATGGTTGGGGAAGTGCTTTCGGGATAAAGTAGAAAGGCACAGGTTAGGAGATGGCTACAAAAACATTTCAAAGGCTTTATCTATCCCTCGCAGTGCTATTTAAAGCATCATTAAGAAATGCCAAGTGCATGGCATCACCTGCACATTGCCTTGATCTGGCCATCCATTCAAACTGAATGACAGAGACAGGAGGACATTAGTAAAAGAAGCTATCAGGAGGCCAAAGGGAACTTTCAAGGTCTTGCAAGTCTATGGCTGGGTCTGGTCAGTCTGTGCATGTGACAACTATCTCCAAAGCTATCTCTAAAACTATCTCTAAAGCTGGTCCGGGATATAACAATGGCAGTTCAAAAAGGAAATTTTATTTAAGATATTATTTTTGTAATTCATAAATATTTTAGGTGTTTTTTTATTAATTGATAGCTTTAGAATGTACCTACAAGAATAATTAAAAAATTTTTAGCCCTTAAGATACTTGGAGCCGGTCGTAGTATATTTATTTATTTATTTATTTCCTTTATTTAGCCAGGAGATCACATTGAGACAGTACTGTCTCTTCTTCCAGTGAGACCTGGTCAAGATGGCAGGCAGCACATAAAGTTTCATATAAAAATCACAAACAATACCTCAAAATTACAAAATCACCATTCTTAAAAACATCAGCTCATAACAAACAATTGCAGGTGTCCTTTAAAATGTTGTATAAAAGATGTTTAAAAGTACTCAGAGTCGGAAGCCCTGGGAGCGTGAACGGAAAAAGCACGTTTGCCAAGTTCTGATAGTGCCCTTGGAACTATCAGACGAATACATGAACCAGATCTAGTATGTTGATTGTTGGTGTGAAATGTTAATAAATTAAAAATATAGGATGGTAATTTACCTAAAAGAGCCTTTAAAATAAATAAGTACAGATGTAATTTTCTCCTTTGATATAGAGATAACCAGTCTAAGGAATCATACAAAATACAGTGATGCGTCCGTGAATCTGCACCTGTGACAAAACGTACTGCTGCATGATAAACAGAATCTAATTTTCTTAATAGGGTAGCGGTTGCGTGCATATAGAGATGATCACCATAATCCATTATAGACAGAAATGTACTCTCTACTAATTTTTTTGCGGGCTTTATAAGGAAAACAATTTCTTGACCGGTATAAAAAACCTAACTTTGGCCTAGCCTTTTTCAGTAACTTGTCAATGTGTGTATCAAAGGCTAATCTCTCATCAATCCAAACTCCTAGATTTTTTAAAAAAGCTAACTCTTTCTATTTGAACACCGTTCAGAGTTTTTATTGTCTGATCTGTTGACTTAGTGCGGCCACGGCTAAAAATCATATATTTAGTCTTTTTTGAATTTAAAACCAATTTTAAATTTTGCAACGTACACTGCAATATTTGAAAGGCAATCTGTAGATGTTGTACAGCTTGGTTTAAAGAATGTGCTGCTGTATATATTATTGTGTCATCGGCATACAGATGTATGTACAGATGTATATGGGGGCTCGCCCAAGACATGACAATGGCAGTTCAAAATGAAAATTTACTTTAAATAATTTAAGTATATTTTGATCATGTTTTTGTAAAGAAATTACTTCTTGCAACTGGCTGATCTGTGTTGCCTCTGTTTATTGATATATGTGGAGCCGATCATAGTATATGGGGGCTCGTCCGGGATATATCAATGGCAGTTCAAAAAGGAAATTTTATTGAATATACTATTTTGTAATTCGTAAATATTTTAGAGGGTTTTTATCAAAGAGCAGTTTTAGAATGTACCTACAAGAATGATTTTTTTTTAGCCCTTAAGATACTTGGAGCCAGTCGTAGTATATGGGGGCTCGTCAAAGACATGACAATGGCAGTTCGAAATTGAAATTTTATTTTAAATAATTTGAAGTATATTTTGATCATGTTTTTGTAAAGAAATTACTTCTTGCCACTGGCTGATCTGTGTTGCCTCTGTTTATTGATATCTGTGCAGCCGGTCGTATTATGGGGGCTCGTCCGGAATATAACAATGGCAGTTCAAAACGGAAATTTTATTTAAGATATTATTTTGCCATTCGTAAATATTTTTAATAGGTTTTAACAAAAAGTAGTTTTAGAATGTACCTACAAGAATGTCCATTTGTTATTTTAGCCTTTAGATATTTAGCTAACTAAATTTAGCATCTGATAAAGATATTGATATAGATCAGGGGTCACCAATCTCGTTCCTGGGGGTCTGATGCCCTGCAAGGATTAGCTCCAACTTGATTCAACACACCTGCCTGGGTGTTTTAAGTATACCTAGTAAGACCTTGATTAGCTTGTTCAGGTGTGTTTGATTAGGGTTGGGGCTAAAATCTGCAGGACACCGGCCCTCCAGGAACAGGTTTGGTAATCCCTGATATAGATCATTGGAATGATCTCTATCAAGAAGAATCTCAATGTAGATTTCTACAGAACATGCTTGGTAAATATACTGTTGAATTTAACCTTGAAAAGTACTTAAATAAAACAAGTTTAGCATATGAAAACAATAATAAAATGAAACAAACTTACAAAAATGTATGAAAGCCTTTTTATTTGCAAATTAGTACAAAGTTGTTTTTTTTCCTGTGTTAAAAATAAAACAGAGCATTAGTTACATCCTCTACTGTCTGGTTACACTGTGTAGTGTATTTGGGAAAGATTGAGAAGAGGGCAGAGCAACCCCCCAACAACAAAAAACAAAAACAATATTTACACCCAATCAATCTGTCTCTGCCCCCTCCCCATCTTAAGAAACAGTGCAACATTCAGGCATTTCACATCACTTTAAAAGATCCTCCACCCCACTCCTACTTCAGCAGCAGTAAAAGATACAGCAAGTCGAGAGCGGTATTTCACTTCAACACCGCAAACATCGAATCATGTCTAGGAATGTACTCCTCTGAGACGGGAGAGTAAAATGAACACAATGGAGCGCGGTGCTATTTCACTCCTCACAATACACTAAAAACAGCTGACATTGTTTATGGCCATCAAGTAAATGATGCTTTCAGTATGGCCATGCCAAGGATAATAAATCATTGTCTTCTCTCAGCAGTTGGTTCTCACGTGGTTAATATGTAATCTCATAGTCTGAGAGCCATTTCCAACCACTCAAATAAGTATGGAGCCAGATGATTCTCAAAAATAAAACATTTTTAAAAATAAAACTGAAATACCCACAACACATTTCACATTTACAAAATCTAATTCGTAAATTCTAAACAATTTGTGAATTCACAAGTAGAAATCCAAAACACTTTGCCAAAGTAATTACAAGTGTGCTTTTATGAATTGTGTTTTGAAATCACGAATTGGATTTGCGTATTCATAGATTGTGTTTAATTTACGAATTAAATGTTGTGGATTTAAGAACTGTGTTTTTGAATTACAAATTGAATTTTGTGTATTTATGAATTGGATTTTGAATTTATGAATTGGATTTTGCATATTTACGAATTGTGTTTTAAATTATGAATTGGATTTTGCATAATTATGAATTGTATTTTTAATTTACAAATTGGATTTTGCATAATCATGAATTGAATTTCGAATTTACAAATCACATTTACATATTTATGAATTGTTTAAAATTTTTGAATTGGATTTGCATATTTGCAAATTTTGTTTTTAATTAATGAATTATATTTTGCGTATTTATGAATTGTGTTTTGAATTTACGTATTAGTTTTGTGTATTTATAAATTGTTTTGAATTTACGAAATGGATTTGTTTATTTATGAATTGTGTTTTTAAACTACAAATCGCATTTACGTATTTACAAACTGTTTTGAATTTACAAATCGAATTTGCTTTACTATGCACTGTGTTTTGAAATTAAGAGTCAGATTTGTATATTTATGAATTGTTTAAAATTTACAAATTGGATTTGCGCATTTACAAATCGTGTTTTAAATTTACAAATTGGATTTGCGTATTTACGAATCGTGTTTTAAATTTACAAATTGGATTTGCGTATTTATGAATTGGGTTTTTTAATTACGAATGGCATTTGCATATTTACGAACTGTTTTAAATTTACAAATTGTGTTTTGTGTAGTTATGAATTGTGCTTTGAATTTACAACTCGAATTTGCTTTATTATGAACTATGTTTTAAAATTACGAGTCAGATTTGCGCGTTTCTAAATTTTTTTAATTTACAAACAAAATTTGCATATTTACGAATTGGATTTTGAATTTACAAATCACATTTGCATATGTTTAAATTGTTTTGAATTTACAAACTGGATTTGCATATTCACAAATTGGATTTTGAAATTCCGATTTGGATTTACATATTACAAATTTTGTTTGCGTATTTACAAATCACAAATCAGATTTGCATATTTACGAACTGTGTTTTGAATTTGCGAATTAAATATTACAAATGTGAAAGGTGTATAAATTTTATTTTGTAAATGTATTATTTCTGATACTGACATGGTTCCATAAATAAACAGTTCTGGACTACTCCTGTCTGCTTTAGTTTTTTAGAAATAACTGGCCACACACTGAATTAAAATGATTGCTATTTTTTTATGATTTTTGAGCATCCTTGCATTACACACATCAGCCTCACACAGTCTTGTGAAAGCTCAGCCATATCAATGCCACAATCGCAAACCCAATTATAAACGTATATATATAAAAAAACGAAAATCGCACAAAAAGAGGGCCAAATGTTACTATACGGTTTGAGATTGCAAAACTAAACCTCTCATCAAAACAAACTAATATTTACATTCACAAAACATGGCTAATAATTGAGGGAGCATGTGCATTTTAGTTACTTGCATAAATCAATTTTTTTTGTTAATTTTTATGGGGACAATAGTTGTTTTTCAAAAGAATGGAGGGACACATGATAAAACAAACAATCCGTAACCCCAAAATATTTAAAGCATCAAAATAAAGTTCTAAAGTGCAGTAAAAACCACCTAAGACTTATTTGCATTGAAAATTGGAAAAGTTTTGGTATATCTTCTTACCAAATCATAAACCAAAACACAAAATGAGTCAGATGCGCACATGCGTATGAGCTTAATTATCTGTAAAAAATCAAAACAAACAAATAACGAACAAAACAAAGCTACTGTTCTCTCAGTGCATTCTAGTATTTCAGTTTAAGTTCTCGGGACAACAAATGTGCATTTGTACCAATCCCAGTACTAGAACATCAGGGAAAAACAATCAATTATTTGATTGATATGGCTGTATTAAATAAAAAAGCCGAACCAATGCACACATTAGTGCGGATTCTGCAGGGCTGGACTGGATACACTAATATTCATCAAACACACACATCCACTGTGCCTGGTTACAGGGCCCAAAATAAAATGTACAGTAAAAACTAATGTCAACAAAATCTCAGTGAAACCTGTAAACTGATCTACAACAAAAACGCAATAAGAAAATAGAAACATCTAATAATAAAAAAGCAGCCCTATCCATTACCTTCCAGCCTAAAATCTGCTGCATTTCTATTAATATGACTTTGGGTGACTCGTAATACATGTACATCATAATGTGCGCGTGAACATTTCTATTGTGTTTAAGGCAGAGCTGAAATGAGAACATCTCGCTTTCTCATGTCTCTGGCTACCCGACAAAGACCGACACTACACCGAAAATGTCAATATGATCTTATTATTATGGTGTAAGTTAGTCAAAGCTTTTGGTGTGTTTTAAATTTGATGACCACGTCTCCGCTTTAACTTCTCTATAAGTTTTAAATTCAAATACAAATTGTTAGAAATTTCACTTAGAAATAATTGATCTCAATATTAAAAAGATAGACCCCCCCCTTCCGCCTTTTCCCCAGAGATTCAGACGTACAGTATGCTTTTTGATAACGCGACCATTCACAGAAAACACAGCATCCAGATGTTTCACCCCAAAATCAAAAGCAAACGAGAAGTGATGGGTCGCAAATATAATCAGTTGTCTATTATTTGCACGGTGACAGCATTTAGTGAAAATGTAGAACACTTTTTTTCATTTAAAAAATGATCACTTCGATAAAAGAATAAAAATCATCCTGTAAGGACGTAAAGATCTGTTACATTAGCAAAAATTCAATTTGCTTGGGGGGTGGGGGTGGGTGGGGGGTCGCACACGGGTTGCGCTGCTTGGCACAGCCCCATGCATTTTAGAATTCTAAACAAAGATTTCTATCAGGGTACGCTAGGGCTGGGCCAATAAACGATTTTATATCGACTCTCGATAAAATTGATGTCAATAACAGTGAAAAGCTCTGGACTTTTTCACTCTATATTGATCTTAGAGCCAATGACACAGCAGAAATGTGCAACAATGGAATCTAGAAGTGTGCTGATATTAGAGATGTTCCAAATTTTCGGGCACTGAATATTTATCTGCCAAAAATGTTTGGCCATTTACTGGACCCTTCAGTCATTGTTGGGCTACTCTTTTAAATCTAAAAGCATTAATGACTTATATTAAAATATATATCGTTTAATATGGAAAATAATTTTTTGCATTCTCGCCCAGCCCTAGGGTAAGCACAGTGGCCCCCAGTTACGACTTCTGCCGTGCCACAGAGCGACATCTGAATAGTTTTATATTAAATGACTTTCGATTGTGCGCGTCTGGTGTGTGATACTTTCAACTGTCGAGCGCTGCATTGGGTGTGCGACCCCCTTCAAACTTACAGTTGTGAATTGAAAAAGATTAATAATTTAGTAATAATTTAGTAATAAGTTATAATAACATGTAGTGTGTGTGTGTGTGTGTGTGTGTGTGTGTATACATATATTAGAAAAATAATGACCCTAAAATAGCTTTTTCCTGACCAATGGTTCATCTTCCTATGCGGTTATTATGATACAGGCCTTCCACTGTAATCAAAGCTCTGAAAATTCTTTTGATTACGGGGTGAAGAAGAACCTGTACATTTCTACAGCTCTCATGAGATTCAAACCTTTCAGCAGGACAAACTCTGCCTTTTTCTGCCCCATCCACAACCTTTCGTTCTTGCAAATATTATGGTGATCTCTTAGTGCTGGACAGCATTCACCATCAAACACACACACACTCACACACATGGGCATCTTAAGGCAGGGCAGGAGAGCCACCTCTCGCTGTCAGCAGCTTTTTTTAACACCCTCATATCTAGATTCACACAGAATAATCTGTATAATGTTCTAGCAAAAAGTAAAAAAAGTGTTCAGGCCTGATGAACGACAAGAGAAGAAGATTTCCATCCGGCTCAGATGTGCTAGAACTCGTCCGCTTTCTCCCTACTCAGTGTAGGGTGCACAATAAGAGGACATGTAAACGCCATTCATGTGTGCAGTGACCCAGCGGTGATGCTCTTTAAAGGGTGAGTGCTTGGGTTGCCAGCCGCTCTGCGAATCTGCAGGCTGCTGTTCATGTGTGTTTGTGCTCAGTCCAGCTTCTCCAGAACAGAGGGCACATAGACCAGACTGAGCTCGCTACCAAAGTCACAGATGATGGCGGCGTTGTCCAAAACCAGGAGCTGCCGGACGCTCTGACCTTCACTGCTCGGCCCCAGGTACACCGTCTGCAGCAGGTCCCCATAGTTCAGGTCCCAAAATGACACGCAGCCTTGTCCTCCGGTCACCAGCAGATTTTCAGAAATCACCCCCAGACTGGCCCCACATCCCACCTCCTGAAACACGAGAATATCTGTGTAAAATGCTCATTTTGTTGAATGATTCACACGGTCTTAAAAGGATAGTTCACAAAAAATTAATATTCGGTTGACATTTACTCACCCTTTATTTGTTTCAACACTGTTTGAGAAGATAATGATGATGTATTTTTATTTACAACAATGCTGTTTTCCAACACTGTTTCAGTTTCTTTCTTCTGTGTAACACAAATTACGATACTTTGAAAAGTGTTTGAATCCTGTAACCATAGACTTCCATAGTGTTTGTTTTTCCTATTATGAAAGTTCCTTTTATGAAAGTTTTCTTCAAAAGTGTTCGACAGAAGGCAGAAACTCGGTTGAAAACATTTGCGGGTGAGTAAATAGTGATTTTTGTGTGAACTATCCCTTTAACTCTTCCAATCACGCACCTGTTGTATTGAGTACAGCTTAATGCCTGTGCTTCGGTCCCAAATGCAAATGAGGTCATCCAAACCGCTGCTAATGATGCAGGATGTTGTGCAAACCAGTGAGGTGACATCACCACGATGACCGTACACGTGGCTCACCCGGCTGCCTGTTAGGACATCCCACACGCAGATGGCTCCATCTTGGCCTCCACTGGCTAGAACCATAGTCTATAACAAAGCACAGAAGGACATTAGTGTTGGAGAGAATAGGTAACACTTTATTTTAGTGCTCCTGAATCATGTGCTTACTATTGTAATAACAGAAAGTTAAATGATTTAACCCACCTATCCATCCATTCATTCATCCATCAATTAATATACATCGTTTCCATTTAAAGTCTAATGTAAAATGGCATGACTGTTCCCTGAATTTTACTGACTAAAAATTTTTTCCATGACTTATGATGAAAAAAAAGTCAGAAGTTGTCTTGAGTAGATCTTCAGGTAAAAAAAACAATACTACTAAGATGTGTGATTTTGTGTATGTTTTCAAAACAACACAACAAATGTCGTAAATATTGCCACAAATTTGGAGAATAGTCCTATTAGGCTGCAAAAATCAAAACTTAATTTTGTTAAATCTAGGAGGGACTGGTTGAGCACTGAGCAGACAAAATTTAGCCAGTGACAGTATTTTAACAGGTTCAGCCTGGTGACTGTATAATTGCCAGTTGCCAAGTGAGAAAAGGAATAAAATTTAAGTGAAAAATATATATATATATTTATATTTATATTTAAGTAAAATTTTAAATGACAAACTCTTGATTTCCCTGTTATGACATGACCTGGACCAAACAAATATAAAATCCCCTGACTTTCAATAGGTCTGGAATAAACCTTATAAAATGTCATCATTATGGGAACCCTGAATATAGATATCTTATCTATCAATCAACATATCCACCCAATATTATATACTTCCATCCATCAAAATATGCATTTATGCACCCATACATGTATGTATCCTCCATGTGTTCATTCATGTATCCAACAACAATACATCCATGTATTCACTAGGCATGGGATAATAACTAGTTTCAAGGTTTACTGTGGTTTTGGAAAAGTCAACGTTTTAAAACCTAAATGTTAAATGTTCCTGTAATACCGTTCCTACAGTATATGAAATTGAATAAAATTTTTTAACTTTTTAATTCAATTCATCTTTATTTGCATAGTGCTTTTACAATGTAGATAGTGTCAAAGCAGGCTTACATAGAAGATTAAAGTGAACTGAAATGGTGTCATTTTAGTTTTTAGAGTTTAAGTGTAGTTCAGTTTAGCTCAGTTCAGTGTGTTTTAATATTCACTGTTGAGAGTCCAAACACTGAAGAGCAAATCCATCGGTGCGCAGCTCTACAAGTCCCGAACTATGCAAGCCAGTGGTGACAGTGGTGAGGAAAAAAAACTTCACAAATTGGGAAAAGTAAAGGATAAAGAAGTCGATTTTAGAAGGCAATGATTTATTTTTGTTATTTAGTCTGACATGTTTACTGTTCCAAACTATTTTAAATGTTTCTTAAAATAAAATATATTGACAAAAAGTTGTTGTGTTTTTACCCAGACATTTAAAATAAACTAAAAATAAAATAAATGAAAATAAAAATTGTATTTTAAAGCAGTGATCACAATACCATGATACTGTGAAACCGTGATATTTTTATCCAAGGTTATCATACCATCAGAATCTTATAACAGCTCATACCTAGTATTCACCCCTGTATCCAACCATGTATGCACCATTGTCACCATCTATCTATCCATTCACTCATATTTCCACATACCAACCACACATTAATTTATTTGTCCATTCATTGTCAATCAATCAACCAATCAACCAACCAACCAATCAATCAATTAATCAATCATTGCAGTACTGCACAAGCATGCAAGTGTGATATAGTGGTGTGCTTCTGACCTGGTCTATGTAGATGGCGGTTATACCACCTGAGTGGCCCTGCAGGGTGAAGAGGCAACAAGAATCCTCCAAACGATACACCTAAAAAGGAATTAAAATTAGAATTATTGTAAAAAGCGCTATGCAAATAAACTTGAATTGAAATGAACTGAATTAGATTAAATAAAAAGTAGGCATGCGTTAACTGTAGGAATCAGAATCTGTGCCTACATAAAGCGTTAGCACCTAATATTTTAGGTAAACTTTATTATATAAGTGTTGCTTCCTTTGCTTTTCAGATTATCAAGCTATTGTAATAAATATATATATATATATATATATATATATATATATATATATATATATATATATATATATATATATATATATGTGTGTGTGTGTGTTATATATAAATGATCTTACCCTGACTGTATGGTCCTGGCTGCCGGTGACCACTCTGCCAGCAGCAGCTTTCAGCACAGTGATGGGTTTCTGATGGGCACACTGTACTGAGCGAGTGAGATGACAGCTGATTACATCCTCGCTGCTGTAACAGGGGGACGGTGGTAGACTACCTCGGCCTGGTGGTCCTGATGCAAAAATATATATCAGGTAAACTATTTTTTACATTTCCATGCCTTCTGATCTAATATATTTCCAGAAATTTACCAGTTCTTTTTTTAACATTGGGTCTGGAGTTCTAAAAACTATTTCCCTGAAATCACACATGCCGCAAAGAAAACTACAATAATAAAACTTTACCCAGACTTGATATATTTTTAATTCGCTTAAAATCTTTAATAATATCATGGTTTGTACGTACAATGAAATTCGAGGAGTTGAAGGATTTTTTTTAAAGTGCTATTTAGAGCATTTAGTGAACTGTCAAAAAATTACTTAAGTCAATGAGTATACATCACATTTCAATTTTCATTACATTTCCTGACACTACATTCCCTGATATTTGCAGGGTTTTTAAAAACAGAAGTGTTTTAATGTTCTTTGCCGAATACTTAAAGACATGCCTCACCTCGATATTGCAGCAACCCGAGTGGCTTGTTGATCTCCACTGTGAAAAAATCCAGTGAGCCATTTAATCGGGCTGCAACAATTCTGCAAAAGAAAACATCACTGTTAGCAGAAGAATGCAAGCTGGTGTGAAACTGGTGTGGCTTAGGCATGCAATTCATATTGCTGTGAAATGCACCTGTTGTTAAGAAAAGCCAAGGCTGTAATTCCAGAAACTCCATCTTCATTACTGCACCGTAAAGATCCCTCTACTGCATCCCACAGCTGGTAGAACAGAAAATAAAGAAGGTAAGTTAAAAACCCTAGCTATGAGCCCATCCAAAGTTCTGAATTTACATTATGCTTAAAAATAGAAATATTTATAAAGTGCAGTTTACATTTTCATGGGTTCAACAGAAGGAAAGTTAAGAAAACGAAGAAACTAGAATGATAAATGTCTTAAATGTCATTTCTTTATTAAAAAAATAAATAGGCTTTTCATTGATGTATACGTTGTTAGGATAGATCAATATCTGACAGAGAAACAACTATCAGAGAATCTGAGGTTTCAAAACATCAAAAACATGCAAATACTGACAAAACTGCCTTTAAAAGTTGTTTAAATTAAGTAATGAAAATAAATTAAAAATGAAATAAAAGTTAAAAACATATATTATATTATTTTATATATATTAAGTTTTTAGTTACGATACTCCTAATCATTCCAAATAAATCTTATTTTTTTTACTAAATTCTCAGCAGAAATAGCACACAATGTCCGCAGATTATGTCTGGCCCTAGTAACGAGTTTTGATACATTTACAGACCGAAATTTACTAAATATATAAAATGGAACACAATTTTTATTTAATACTCAAATATGTTTTTTTGCATGAAAGAAAAATTTATAATTTGAACCCATTAAATGCATTTTTGTCGTTTGCCAAAATCACCATAAGGTGGTGTGTTCCAGGGCAGGGTCACATATGAATAATATATATTTTTTTATCTTTTTTTCCTCTTTACACTTCAGTTCCACCTCAGACCAGTAGATAGCAAACCAGTTTACTGGTTAATCTAGTTATACAATCACATTATCTGTTGAGGAAAAATCCTAAGATGGTTTTGATGTGCATCAAGGAATTTATTCAGAAAATGTGTTTCCATCAAGTTCATGAACATAATATCTTTTAATCTGATTCAAAATGTACACCCAGTTGAGCACATTATTAGTATTTATGGGGATATTTGTACTTAAAAACGCTGTTTTTTATAAGAATCCTAAAATGTACATACAATTTTCAGCACATTTTTAAACAAAATAGTTTAATAACTGATTTATTTTGTCTTAGCCATGTTGACAGTACATATTATTTTACTAGACATCAAGATGCTGGTATTCAGCTTAAAGTTAAATTTAAAGGCTTAAAACTGACATTTAAAGGCTAGGTTGATAAGGCAAGTTAGGGTAATTAGGCAACTCATTGTATAACGATGGTTTGTTCTGTAGACTATCAAAAAACAAATATTGCTTAAGGGGGGCTAATAATATTGACCTTAAAATGGTTTTAAAAAAAATTCAACTGGTTTTATTCAAGCTGAAATAAAACAAATAAGACTTTCTCCAGAAGAAAAGATATTACAGGAAATACTTTTAAAAATTCCTTGCTCTGTTAAATATCATTTGGAAAATATTTGAAAAAGAAAAAATTATATTGGCTTTAACTTTAGGTATTTACGGTTAAAAAACATCACATCTTTCCCTCACCTCCAATTTTCCAGTGCTGCGGCCCGTAGCAATGAGGTTCCCCCTGAGCTCCATGGCCCACACTGAGCTGTCCCAGTCTGCACTGCTCTGTGGAGGGAGCTCAGGAGGCAGGACCGGCTGATCCCCGAGGCTGCGGCGTCTCTGCTGTGAGGCTGGAGGAGACGGAGGGAAGACCAACACTGGAGAGGGCTCATGCTCCTGGTACGCTTTCTCCACCAAACTCCCAAAGTCAAAGCCAGAGCCGCTCAGGGCCTGAGATGGAGGCAGCGCCCCGAAGTTGGTGTCGATGAGAGGCGTGAGGTCTGGTTGGTCTCCAAACAGTGCAGGACGAGCAGGGGTGGTCCTCCTCCTTATAGCGAAAATATCTACATCTGGGCCTCCCATCGCTCCTCCTGGTTCTCGAAAGTCTGTAGCTATTCCCTCTACTTCAAAAGCACTGATGTGATCCCAGCCATCACGGTGCTCCCAACAACCGTTGCTGCTGCTCCTGCGCAGGCTAACAGAGGACACAAGCATGTTAAAATACACAATACAGTAGTGGTCAAGGTGATTTTTTTTTTTTTATTATTGTGTAAGTTGAATTAAACCAGCAAGATATGATAAACAAGATACATTGGGAAGAGGAAAACACTAAACTTGTGTATGGTATTTAAATGAGAAAATGGTTTATGACAAAATATGGGTTTTATTTTACCATGCCAAAAAAGCATGGAAAGACTAACACACAATGAATACTGTATGATCAGTTAATCAGCATCTCATTGCTTGTTCTGCACATATTTTAAAAATGTTCCCACTTTAAATCCATGCAATTTGTTTTAGCATAACTTAAAAATAACTCTTTAAAACTTTAATAAACTAAATGTATGCACAAAAGACTGTAATAATATTAGTTATGAATAGACTATTGGTAAAAGTTTTATTGAGATGTATTATTAAAGATTGGATGTGTGATAGATCAATGGGTAGCTTTAGATTAAAAGAAAATCGGCACACTGCCACTTAACTGTAGCTCTCAAAAAATGTTTTAATGTCATGTTTCGAACTACATGGTCTTCATCAGGTGACCATCTCAATTTTTTTGAGAGGTAAAGTGGCAGTGCGTCGATTTTCTTTTGTTACGGTGTTTGTTTTTGATCGAGCACCAGCCTTTGAGATTCCTAGATGTGCGCACATTTCTTTTTCAACTGGGTAGCTTTGCATAAACAAAGGAAAACTAAGACCCATTTAAAATGTTTTTTTAAATGTAAGACATTTTAAGACTTTGCGCTGTAATAATAAAAAAAATCAACATCACAGGTAATATTATAGCAATATTTTAGTCACAGTAATATTTAAAAGAAAACATTTTATTGTAGCAATACTTCAATAAAAAAAAAAAAATATATATATATATATACATATATATATTTTTTAACGTTTTTTTATTTTATTTTATAAGAAAGTAAGTAGAGACAAGAATTCATGGGGAGCAGAGAGAGGGGTAGAATCGGAAAGGAATCAATCTCTGTAAGCATCTCAGTGCTATGTCGATGCACTAACCACTAACCACATCGACCATTTAAAAATGTTTACAATTTATATTATCATGTTTTTTTGTAATATTATCAAATAAATCCAGGACTAGTGGAAATAACAATTTTTAAAACAGTTAAAATGAATGTAAAATATAGTATTTTCCAGTGACGCAGTGGCGCAGTAGGTAGTGCTGTCACCTCACAGCAAGAAGGTCACTGGTTCGAGCCTCTGTGTTTCTGTGTGGAGTTTGCATGTTCTCTCTGCGTTTGCTTGGGTTTCCTCCGGGTGCTCTGGTTTCCCCCACAGTCCAAAGACATGCGGTACAGGTGAATTGGGTAGGCTAAATTGTCCGTAGTGTATGAGTGTTTGTGTGTGAGAATGAGTGTGTGTGGATGTTTCCCAGAGATGGGTTGCGGCTGGAAAGGCATGCGCTGCATAAGTTGGTGGTTCATTCCACTGTGGCGACCCCAGATTAATATAGGGACTAAGCCGAAAAGAAAATGAATGAATGAATGTAATATTTTATTAATTGTCTATATGCACATTTATTATTATATATGTAAAAAAAACTTTATTTTATATGTACATCATTAAAAATGCTGGGTTCCACAAAATCGATTTGTGTTGGGACAACATAAAAATGATCAGTTAACTTATTCGATTTTACGAATTAAAAAGGGTTGAACATAAAATAATTAAGTTGCCCCCCCCAAAAATATTTTAAACAAGCAGATTACAGTAAATATAATTTTTTGAGTGTACATTAATTGAACATTAAGCAGTCTGTCTATTTATTATAGTTATACATTTCCTTACCCTTTGTTGGGTATAACAGTGAGACAGTCTCCAGTCTGTGCGTCCCATACACGGATCTGTCCTGCCAGGCAACAGCTGGCCAGCAGCATGCCATCACTGGCCAGACACTCAATGTCCTGAAGAGAGGTGCCAAAAGATCTTTTAAATATCTCAAGACTGTATTTATGGAAAAATAAATTCAATCCTGCATGACTCCAGTCAACGTACCATACTGTGACCTCTCAGCAGCAGAGGGGAAATTTCACTGATGGGGGGTGAATATCCGTACTCATCGCAGGGCAGGTCTCCACGACGACGACGGCCATGGGGCACACCGTTCTGCCCATAGTTTCGAGGGCAGAGCACACGATACAGACAGAAGAGTAAGAGCACCAGCAAAACACCAGCGAAAAGCCCAAGAGCTGCCACTCTGCACAAACACACACACATTATAAAGCATAAGAGACTTGTAGTGATACAATGAAATTAGCTTGGTGGCTCGAAGTGACCTTTAGCATTAAAGAAATATGAGAATAAACAATATAAACAAAATAAATATTTAATAAATAAATAAATATATAAAGTAAATAATAGATATAATTGCTCTATAATATTAATTTAACATTATATACAAGAATGGGATTCATTTCGAGGGGAATTGGATAGTGCAAACAGTCAATCAGGAATTACATTGAACGATAGTAATGTAAATAAAAATACAGACTGTTATCATCATTAAAACTATGTTAAACCTTAATATTCAAAACAACAGTCTAAAACAACCTGTCCAATCGAGGCAAGATGTGCTTAAATACTGCCTATTTTTCCTTAAATGTGTCTATTGCAAAACAAATTAAATTACACACTTCACTGAAAATGCCCCAGTACACTTTTTTTGGTATTATCATTCATGAAGTGTGTGATACAGCCGTTTATGAATGTGAAAGGGTAACACTTTAGTTTAGGTCACAATTCACAGTATTACCAAACCATTAACTAACACTAGTATCTTAATAATCTACTAATTATTAATAGCTGTTTATTAATAGTTAGTCAGGTAGAAGTGGGTTTTGGTTTAAGGTAGGATTAGGGATTCAGAGAATAAGATCATACCTTATTAGTACTTAAAAACAGTTAATATCTTGATAACAGGCAGGTAGTTAATAGCGTGAATTGTAACCTGAACTAAAGTTTTACCTGTGAATGATCTGCATAGTTTCCCTCATTTAAAAGCAGACACTGGAGTTTATCAGAACGGACTGACTCTGATCTGCCTGAAATGAGTCGTCAGTAATTCCAGTCTTAGCCCAATTTGCATAATGCCAACCCTATGGTCTTCACTGGCCGCCAATGTGTGTGCACTTTGCTCTCAAACACAGTAGTTGTAACTGAGACCTTGAAGAGTTTGCTTTGTGACTGAATCGATATGGAAAAGCCAACACCATTGTGTTCACATCAGGGAACTCATGATAAAACGATGATTATCAAAATACAGTTGTCCCTCAATAAAATGATAACATGTTCAGGAAATGTTTGGTATGACATACTTATAAAGGCGAAATATTTAGCTCTCCAGTAAAATTGTAATACTTTTTCACTTTTTCACATTTTATTGTTTAATTTGAGGATTTTTTTCACAGCAATTCTTATTTCTTGTAGTTTGGCTGAAATAAAATATTTGAATAAAAAATAACAATATTATTTTCCACCTTGAGTAATAATAGTGAACATAATTAGCCTAGTAAAGCCTTTAATTAGCTCTTTAAGCTAAATACTGTCTATATATATCTATACCAAGTTAAATATTATGTTCTGTCATCATGGCAAAGATGAAAGAAATTCGTTATTAAAACAATTATGTTTAAAATGTGTCTCAGCTAAACAACACTAGGTAAAAATGAAGAGTTAATAAAAGGAGTTGATAGTTAATAGGAACTAATAAATTGTCTTCAACTGTTTAAGCTTCCTTGTGGAACTAAATGGCGCTGGTTTGTTTACAAGCAGATAGTCCTTATATCGATCATGAAACAGCTCTAAAGGGAAATGCTCAAAATGTAGGGAACAACCTAAATATCTCTGATTTAGCTGAAAGCAGGATGAAACAGTGCTGACTTGACATAGATATCAGCATCCCTGATAAATACATCAATTAAATAATTGAATTAATGAAATATTAGACATTATATGAGACCTCTAAAACAAAATGAAAAGAATTTATTAATGTACCAACCTCTTAAACATCAGATCAGGGTGAGTGTTTACAACATGCAATACTATGCTTACATGTCATGCTGCTTACTCTAATGGAAAATATGTTGTATTTCTCGTAGTCATTTTAGTGCACGAAAGTAAAATTTCTATCATTACAACTGATTTAGCTTTTGGTTCCTTTCCTGGACTATGATCATTTGAGGATGAGCCCTCAGATTTCATTTAAAGGGCACCTATTTTAACCCTTTTTCAAGGTCTGTAAAGTTTCAGCCCAAACACCAGTCAGATTATATATTATACCTTTCAGAATATTTGGAATTTTTCTGCTCTAAACAATATGTAGCTGTTTTTGTTGCCTTAGTCTTAATGCTAGTTCTCTACGCCCACCGTTCCCACCTGCCTGTCAGTGTGTCTAGGTCTCCGACTCCGTCAGATAAACAGCACAGTGACAGACATGAAGGAAACCGATCGCATGCTTGTGAGAAATACTACAGTGAGAACTTTCCCAATGATTATTTGATGTATTTGTTATGGAGTTAATTCAAGCTTTACTGCAATGTTGTTACAAAGTTCACACACACACACACACACACCCACACACACACTGCAAGCGTTTAACATTGCATGTTAATATACACTGCTGCACGGACATCTGTTATGTTAATGTGCAAAATAAACCTGATTTAACGTCCACAACCCAGGATCTTTTATAACTGTACTTACATGCGGTTGTGATGATAAAGATGGTAAAATCACTATAATTCATAACAAACATGCACTGTTGATGAAGATTGATAATCTATAGACAGCGAGCTAAACAGATCGTTTAATCCCAGTTGCTTTGCGCATGTCCTGTCTTGTTGACAAGATTATACGTGTTAAAACGGAGACATGTTAATACGCGGATGTCAATAAATTCGGTGAGTGGGGAAACCGCACTCCTATATCACATTGCAGTCAGCCTCAAAATGGGAGGAATTTGGATCCTATTTTAATATCAGGAAATTCAAAAAGAGATATATTGTCTTTATGTTACTGCAATATAACTGTGAACACACTATACCTAGAGACAGTGCTGTACAAACAAAATACAAAAATAATTTTCATCCTAGTCCTACTTTAAAGTATTTTAATTTGTGTTTCGAATATGAACAAATATGTAAAAAGAATTGTAACAACTTAGTAATTAAGTAATAAAAAAATTTCTTTTTTGGCTGAACCAAATCTTTAAAGTGCCACATTAGTGGGCCAATAAATCAATTTAAAGCTGGCATTTGAACCCTCTTAAACTGGAACTTAAACCCTCGCAAAACAAGTCCCTCTAGAAATTCCAGTCAACACACTTCCACAAATGGGAATTCTAGGTAAACAAGATCTCAGTTTGTGCACTCAGTGTTGATGTTTTCCTTACGGAGTAAAAACAGTAAACAGAAAACGGTAAACGCAGGCAGGGGGCCAGGCTTTAAAAAAAACCTGACCTATATCCATCTGATGCGTATCTAACCACCATAACAACAACCTCAAAGATAAAAGCAAAGCCTTGAAACAATGACCTTCAATGCCGCAATCAGAGTGTGTTTGTTTAAGAACAAGGCTATTGTTTGTCTCTGCAGTCGCATAGTTGGACCTTTAGTGTGTGCTAATATGCAATATGAATGAGGGCTTGTTGTTAATCAGTAACAGTTCCATGTATAAATGAGAAATGTAGGTGTTTGTTTGCTTAAAAGAATATTTTGGCCATGAGGTTTAAAACCTCTTGACATTTGTTCACAGAAAGAGCACAAAGGGAAGCGGTAATGCACGTTTTCTGAGTAAAGTCACTGAGCAACTTACAGATTAGCAATGAATGACTGCTGTCTGATCTATAAATACAACAAGGTGTGAAACCAACAAAGAAATTCCATTCCGATTCATAAAACCCTCTGATAAGCACACAAAGAGCGGAGGAGTTTTAGAAAAGAGAAGGGAGGCTTTATTTATTGTAACACGACAAGCCTGGTGAAATGTGTTTCTGTGATATACCATAACCACAAATACAATTGTTAAAAACTAATATTACTAACTAATATTTCTCAAGAAAATGTAAGTCTTCTGATTTTTACTAGCCTTGTCAAAAAACAAGCTAAATTAAAGATATGTTAAATAAAAGTCAAACAATAAGAAAAAATATGTAAAATATAAACAATAAACAATGTGGGAGTGAAATTGAGAATCTGAGGGTATTTTTTGTTACTTTTATGCTTTCTTTAACGCAGTGCCACAGGCTGGTGTGTGATACTTAAATTTGACTCATAATGAAAGACAATAAAATTAATAAAATTTTAATAAATGTAAATCAAAACAATCCATTCAGAATTTTGAGGTCACTAAGATTTTGTCTGAATAGTTTTTAAAAATCTCTGAATTTTTTAGTAATATTAATAATGGTTTTATTCATATATTTTTTAAATTATTTCAATTTCTTCCAAATAGAAAATATTATAAATTATAATAATTTTTAATAAATAAACATAATAATAAACAAATAATAACTTTTCCGATTTATTATAAACTACTATTATTAACTCTTCTGAAGCAGGGTTTCTGCAGATATCATAATGTCAAATTTAAGACTTTAAGACCTTAAGACCATCAAGTATTAAATTTAAGACCTATATTACAATATCAAAAACACGCATATACAGACAAATTGCAAAATCCCAAAATTAGTGGCAAAATATATGTAACCAAATTGAACGGTACAAAAGGCATGTCAGATGCGTCACATCGCGCAACTTACGAAACGTAAGAGGCTTTTAAACTGGATGCGTTCGCCATTGAGATATTCTTTTAAATGACAGCGGGTGGTCAAAAGAAACAGACAGTAAAATCAGACGGATAAACAGAGAAGTAGAAAGTTTCCTGGACCCAGTCATATAATTAATATCACTAAAGATTTTTAAACAAATTGTTTTTTATTATTTCTATAATTTATTATAATAATTATAAGAATTTTTAAAAACCATTCAAGATTTTCTAAATCAAACTTTGATGCATCATTGTTATTAAAATTAAATATTAAATGGCAACAGAACATGAGTTGCTCTACAATTGTTTTTTTTGTTTTTTTATGGCAAATTATGCGACTCTGCGTGAACCGTTCGCACGAGTTTCAAAAAATTTTGTGAGCTCCACCAGCCGAATTCATGTCGCACGAACCCAAATTGAACCTCAGCAAACATATGGATGATGTCACATTCGCCGTGCGTATTGAGTTTAACAACAGAAAACTGATTGGCTATTGCATGTTGGTCTCATTTGTAGTTGTAATACTGCAAATTACAATTGGACAAGTGAAACTACATGAACTACAACACCACGAAAACCAAGCAACAACTACAGAAAAAGAATTTAAATAAGCATTACATGTAGCGTTACATGGACATCGGAAAAAATAAGACCTGTGCAAAAATATTTAAGACCTAGAACCACGATTTTTAAGACTTTTTAAGGCCTTAAATTTAGAATAAAAATATTAAAATATTAGACTTAAGATTCCGCTGAAACCCTGTGAAGTTATAAATATTGCCAATGTGCCATCAAAACGTTGACATGTTTATCATCATTACATGTTATCAAATTATGGTTTACTGAAATGCGGAAATATAAATAGGAAATCCAGAGAAACTGGAAGTATTTAAATACTGTTCTTTTATAAACCACATTTATCCACAATTTTTCCAAATACAATCTTTGAAGAGTAATGTTTAAAAATGAAGTATTTAAATATGAAAATATTATAGAGGAAATAATGGAGATTTATTATTACAGTTGGTCAGACCAATAAATGTATTATGACAAACATTTATTGTTTTAACACCAAAAAAATTTTTCATTCATTTATTCATTTTCGGCTCAGTCCCTTTATTAATCCGGGGTCGCCACAGCGGAATGAACCGCCAACTTATCCAGCATGTTTTACGCAGTGGATGCCCTTCCAGCCGCGACCCATCTCTGAGAAACATCCACACACACATTCACACTCACACACTACGGACAATTTAGCCTCCCCAATTCACCTGTACAGCAAGTCTTTGGAGTGTGGGAACCCCCGCAATTGCAGGGAGAACATGCAAATTCCACACAAAAAATGGCCCAGCCGAGGCTCGAACCAGTGACCTTCTTGCTGTGAGGCGATAGCACTACCTACTGCGCCAATGCGTTGCCAATAATAATTTTTCTAAATTATTATTATAAATATTATTTTTAACTATTATTACCTCTGCTGAAGTTGTTAATGTGCTACCAAAATATATGTTTATTATCATTTGGAAGAAATGTCATAAAATTTGTGTTTTTCTGAAATGCATAAATATAAATAGGAAATCCAGAGAAACTGGAGATATTTTTTTTCATAAGCCACCTTTTTCCATAATTTAATATAATTTAATTTAAATAGTAATGTTTAAAAACAAAAACAAAGCATGAATGAATCTTTTTGCCTTTTGCTGCCCAAGCTATGGATTAATTCAGCCTTTGTAAAATCAGCTTAAGCTCTTAAACAGCAGAAGTGAGAGACTGACTTGTAGAGTGTGAGGTCCGTCTGCAGATCAGAAGTCTTGATGCTGGGAGGAGGAGGAGGAGCGTGCTGTGTGTCCTGCGGGTGCCGAGTGTCTATGGCCTCCTGTGGGCTCAGATGAAGCGTCACGGGGATGACTGGAAGAATGCTGATGTACCTGAGGGCATCGGAGATGTGCATGAGCACAAGCTGGAACACAGACAAACTTTAACAAACCTTACGAAGAGCGCACCTTTTTGCAAGAGTGATGTTGTAATAGCTGAAGAGTGAGGGCCAGTGGCGGAAAGAAAGCCTCCTCCACAGCTCCTCATCTTCGGAGCCCCAGGTGATCTGAGGGCTTGAGACGGGGGCGACTCCTGGACGGGCTGCTCGGTGGCCCTGGGACTGGTTTTCGGGAAGAGGAGTGGGTTCAGGGGCAGGGAGGACGCTCAGTGTGCTGGTCGGGTGTCCGCCGGGAAATACTGGAGCAACACCCAGGTGAGGAGGAAGCCCTGCCTCTCCAAGAGGACTCTGCTCGGATACTTGGGCTGCAAGGAAAGTCCTCAGACCAGCAGGGTCAGTGTAGACCAAGATTCCAATCCAGATTACAGTGCCAACCTATTAAACACATCAGCAACAATATTAGATCACATTACAAATAATATTAAATTAAAGTGAAAATACATTTTAGAATAGCGTTAATTTATTAGTTTAGAAAAAAGGCTTTTGCAAAGGATTTAGGCCTAATCCCAATTCTATTTTTGTACCCTACCCCTTCCTCTTGGGCCTTACAACTGAGGGTTAAGGGGAAGGGCTTCAAAATTTACCCCTAAGAATTGGGACAGCACTACACCACCTGCACACATCATCATATGTCCTCGCGATCTCCTGCTTCATGTGTGTTTTTTTTTTGGTATTTATCTTGAGGAAATCACTGAAGGTATATATTATGTTATCATAACGATCTAATGTGGCAATAAGATCGTAACTGTACTGTGTATTTACACAGTGGGCATATTCATCTATGTAAACACACCAAAAACAACATTAATATTATAGCAAACACTGTAAAATCCCAATTGACAGTCACTAGACATTACTGAAAGGGTATTCGAGTGTCAGAATGCTGTGAGACTGCTGTACAGGAGTTATTAATAGGGATTATAGATTGCAAAATTTTGCGGGTTTTTTTTTTTTTTGCGTTTTTTTTTTTTTTTTAAAGCATGACAGTAAAACATGAACGCAGTTATGAATATATTAAAACATACGTTTGTTTGTCGTAAAAATTCGTAATAATGACAAAAAAGACTAATTTGTGGATCTCCTTACTTCCGGGTTCAGCAATACTGAAATTTTCTTACCCCTTGATTTCAAGTGTGGTCCTGAAAATTTTTTTTCGAAGGGCTATTCACCACTTCCCCTTAGCTCTACACCTTTAAGCTAAAGAGAATTGGGACACACCTACCCCTTGGCGTGCACCGCAAAACGAGGGGTAGGGGTAAGGGGAAGGGCTGAGGGGTAGAATTAGGATTGGGCCTAAATTTGTTTAAAAATACAGTAAAAAAAAACACTGTAATATTGTTAGATATTAATATAATCCAAACAAATGGTCTCCTGTTATCTTGTAAAATTATATTTTGGTCCTGAGTGCTAGGCTGAATATTCACTGGGTTTCTACAGCTTTCATCAATTCAAATTTTAAGACCATTATAAATGGAATTGCAGACTTATACAAGGCTAAAAGGTAAGATTTTTTTTTCTGATGGCCCAGTTAAAACATAAAAAAATTACAAATGCTGTTGTAAGGAAGATAATTAAACCATCTTACTAAATAGTTAAAGGTGCCGTAGGTGATCTGCTAAAATGCTAACCGCTTAGCATAGTATCTTTGTACGGCAGTGAGAGACTGTATTTCAAAGCCACGCCTCTCGAAATCGTGAACGCGTGCACCATGTTACAACAGCAGACACTAGTTCATGTCATTCGCCAGTTAGTTAGTGTTTGGCCGCCCAGGCGGCGTGCAGGAATTACATTAAGCCATATTTACATGCTATTCCAGAACGAATATTCAGAGAAGCGTGGAATACAGTATAGGAAGGCAAAATGAACAAATGTGAATATAAAAGCAACTTCAGCTCAATAAAGCAGGCTAGGCAAAATATTGCTACTTACTGATGTTTTGTTGTTAAACTAAATAAAAATCTACATTATTGTTGCTGTCAAAGGTCCCTTATAAAACTGAAAATTGTTAAATCAATCTTTTGCCGGGAGATTTTTAGTGGCTGAACAACAATGTGCATATAACCCATTCATAACACAACACAATCTAATATAAGCTTAGCCTGACTAAAATAGTTTTAAAACAGAACATTACCTGTCTAACAGTAATACTTCAGCTATGGTGTCTTCCTTCCTCCAGCGTGCAAAAGTAACTCCAATATTGATTCAGGATTTTCAAAACATTCTATTCAGCATTTGATTTCACTGCATCAGTGATTGTTTCGTGAATGCGCAGCGCTCATGCAGGCAGGCACACGTGAATGGCTAATATGCATGAACGGATGCGCAGAAGTCCGAATCTACATATGCTGACAGACAGTTTGGGCTACTTATAGGAATTATGCCAGATGTCAGAATGACAATATTTAATTGGATGAAAATTTTTACATTTTAAATTTGTTTTATGTCTCCCCAGAATATAAAAATACAGATAAACACATATATCATTTACTGCAATCAGTACTGTTGGACTGTAGAGAGACTTTAAACCAGCACAACAAAAAATGTTTCTGAAGACAATCACCTACTGCACCTTTAACAAATAAACTTGTCACATTTTTATTGAGATGGAATGTAAGTGATTGAGTGTTGACCCAATTGGATAGCTATACATAGGAAAATTAAGACCTGTTTAAAATGATTTAAGACCTACATCACAATATTTCCATGAATTTAAGACTTTTTAAGGCCCTGAAGATTCAGCAGTCATTAAGCAGTGTTTAGGATTATTGGATAAATAAAAACTAACATTTAAATTCATATTTTAAAAAAAAATTCTAGTTCTACATCAGTATCACTTTTTAATCGATTTCTATTCTGTACTTTTAGAAGGAAAAAAACATAATTCTAATAAATTATAATAATTATTAATAATTATGTTTCTCTCTCTCAATCAAATATAAATTAATAATTGTTTCTCTCAACAAAACATAAATATATAATTGTCTCTCTAAATAAAACATAAATGTTTAGTTGTATAATGCATTATACTAACTATAGTGATATTAATATAGACTATTATACTATTATTATACTAACTGTATAATTTATATATATTTTTTTATTTGTTGCATTGATTACTTCTATATTTCAAAGTTTTAAGCCAATTTGGAAAAGATATTTGTCCCTCATGGTTTGTCATCATTTGCTGAAGTTTTCTTTCTTGAAAACTCTCGCCTCTGGCTTTCTTAGTTATCAGAGGAGGTGCTCTTTAGTAGGTCGTCCTTCAACAGTGACATTCATATTGAACTGAACTGAATCTACTAAAGTAAACCACGCTACATTCTTCCATTACTCTGCTACATGCATGACATGCTGATTATGTCCCACAAACTGAAAAAATATTATTTTTAAAAAATATTTTTTTCTTAACAAAAAAGGTATATGAAAGTGTGTTTTATAATCCTAGATATTTGAATGTTTAATCTGTTTTAAATGTTTTAATATTATTGTTATTTAAAATAGCTTAATTTTTTTTAAGTTTTTAAAAGTTTTAAAAGGTGCTACATAAAAATAAATTATTATTATTATTATTAGAATTCACATTGTATAAAAAATACAGTAATTAAAGCATTTGTTTAAAATAAAAAGGCATTGTCAAAAGTAAAGAAACATCTTAAATGCCACTTGATTAACTGAATGCATGTTTGCTGAATAACAACTTTAATTTCATTAATTAATCAAAAAATAGTAATAACTAGACCCCAATCTTTTGAACAGTAGCATAACTGAAACATGTTCTTTTATTATTAACAGCACAGAACAATAACATCAAATTTTTTCAAATCAATCATTATTTACCATAATAATCCGCTGTGCCAGGCGAGTGCGGGCTAAGAAATACACCACCCTCAGCCTCTTGGGCAAGCGGAGGTTGCGAAACGCTGGAGTCTGCAGAGTGATGGTGTGTGGTGAGGGACGAGGTGGTGGAGGCGTCTCCCGGGGACGTAAAGTGCCCGGTTTAGGAGGAGGCATCCCTGCTTCTGCTGGCAGACGTCTGTTGAGATCAGCCAACTGTTGTGGCAGAGACATCAATGTGAGGGAAAAGATAACAAAACGGAATGTTCAGTACACCGTATTTGGCTGATTTATGAATATGTCAAGGAGTTGTGAAAGAAATGTTCCCTGTGTGGGCGTTTCTCACCTCCATGCGGCGGATGTCAATAGACAGCACAGTGGTGAAGAAAAACATCTGAAGGAAGAAATCGGACACCAGACCCACCACAGCAAACAGACAGAACTCCTACATGCACAGGACAACAGGGGGAAAGGTGTGAAGCGTTTGCAAACTGACATAATGCAACTACTGCTAAGAGTAGGTTGCATACTTTTGTTGCATACTCACCTGAATAGCTGGGACAAATGTGAAGTATCCAATGAGGATGATGCACAGCTCAGTGGCCATATTCTTCATGATTGACCAGCTCTCGTTGCTCAGACCTTAATGGAAAAACCAAAGTATGAAAATAAATTATTTTGCACAACTTACTTTATACTTTTATCAATCTATGAAAAATTAGTAGGGGCTCAAAGCAATATTTGAAAGTATTTAAGTACTTAAGTTTAATCGAATCCTTACTTCAAACAATATTGCCTGCAATAATTTTCCACTAACAGTCAAACTAGGTACACCTTTTTGACTGTGTACTTGTCTATCTGTGTCTACATGTGTGTAATGTGTGTTTTTCTTTACATATTTATTATCTTTCGTGCATTTATAGTCTTTAACATACTTATTGTCAACATTGCTAATAGTAAATTGTTTTGTTTTTGGAGTATGTCATTGTATTTTGCACTGTCTAAAGCCAGCACCTAAACTTTTCACTCATCACACGCTGTTGATAACAATAAAAGTGATTTGATTTAAGGATGTAAAAGTCTAATAAAATAAGCAAACAGTTTTTACAAAGTGCAAAATTACAAAAGCTTATTTATTATGTTAGGTTTTTATAGAACTTTCTGATGTTTCTAGCAGAAGTGTCAATGTACAGAGTATAAACAGAAATCAGAGAGTGAAATTCAATACCTTTTAAGACCTTTTTAAAAGACACTTTCCATACATTTTAAGATCTTATAACCACTTCAACTAGAAACAATGGCGAACATTTTACTTACAATATATTTACTAAATATTAATGTAAGAAACTAATCCAAAACTAAAACATTACTTATACACTAAATAAAAATCTATTAAATCTAGCTAATTCAGCAGGTTTGCGCCTAACTGCAGAAATAATGGTGTTGCCTTTGTTACTGCGGTAAACAAAACAGGATGATGCCAAATCTAGTAGGATTTCATTGATTTCATAATCTAGAGAGCATCCTGATATTCACAGATTTAGTTCAGGCAAACTTTAGCATAAAACCATAAATGGCATAATCTAAATGCTATAAAAATTAATACCTTGCAAAAAAGCATTTAAGACTTTTTAATGGCATTAAATTTCTCTACATTGATTTATCAGACCCCTCGGACACCCTGATGTAACATAATTTTATTCTGCATTATTTCAACTGTGATGTTTGAATGATAAAATAAAAGAAACTGAATTCAACTTTACTCAATCAATTATAAATGCATATAAAATTTTTTAAAAAGTTTAAAAGTTTTTTAGGTATGTTAATAAAAAATAAATAAAGCATGTGTGTGCAAAGCAGTATTTTATGTATAAATCATACATGTCCCAATAATAATTATATATTTAGATATTATTATTTCTTTTTTTTTAACTGGGTAAAAAATTCTGAAAAAACAAAACAAAAAAAAAAACACAAAAATTCAATTTTGGGTACATATTCAGATATTCAGGGCTCAACAATAAGGACTCCCTGATGGCCTGGGTCAGCTTCAGAGACACTCAGGACTGTGGACTGGATCGTTACTGGCCCGATCGACTTAAGTTTAATTTGTCTGCGACAATTTGTCAATAGGGTATATGCACAGCTAGTGTTTCTTCCCATACTAATGAACTTCCGGTGAACAGTTATTGTGACTTTTTTTCCATTTTATACGGTTCCTTTTACAGCATCGATGTTGTAATGTAATTAAAATAAAATCAGTTAAATAGATTTGCCATTCATTTAGTTGCTCAATTGTAAAACGAGACAAAAAGCCGTTTATTCGCACGCACCCATCAGGATCGGCAAGCTATCGCAGAAGCTCCATTGAATATACGCGGGTAAAATAAATGTTCCTATTTTATTTAAGACATCGGGGAAATTTTTTATTTAATGCAGTGCTTTTTGTACAATTTGAGACTGACTTTAAATGGAATATCACACAGCTAGTGGAGATTATTTTTTAAAGAAAACAGACCTTAAATGCGCCGATTTTGTAATGCCATACAGTTCACTGGAAGCGTTTAACCCAGGTTAGCAGGTCTGAAGTTGTAAACATCATATTGCTTTTCAGTTCCTCATATTTGCATAGATGTTGTGAGCATGTTATTTTTTCCGTAACCTGGTAAAAATAAGTATAGCGAAGAGACTAAAACATCAAATTATGAGGCTAACATATTGGAAGCAGACATTTATGTGGGTACTACATGATGAAACCAATGTAAGTGAGGTTTTGCACAGTTTACCGTTAGTTTGGCAAGTCATCCACCTTTTTGTTAAATAAAACTGCAATAAAGTACCTAATAATACCAAAATACCATGTCATGGAATATCTAAAGCTAGGAAAAATGACATATTTCACCCAAGGCTCAAATAATAGACTCTTAAAAGTGTGAAGGCCATTTCTGTCATATTTTGAGAACATATTAATTCCAAATACTTGAATTGTAATGGCCCTCCCCTCAACTTGCCGCTAAATCTATTAATTTTATTATTTATTTGTTTATTTATGATTGATTATTATTATTTCCTTTTGTATTATCTACTGTTTGTTTCGCGTACTTCATTCTTGTATACAATTCAGTTTCTCTGTTACGATCTTCAGTTTTTTTCTATTTAATAAAAAACTTGTCTACTACTGCAGTAAAGTACCCGCAAATTTTCCATACTGCTCTTTTTGTTGGCATAGCAATTTTGCTCAATAATCATTTATTAAATTTGTTTAAATATTTAAATTCTAGATTCACACAAACAAGTTATTTTTGACACAATATTGAATATATGTGGCTAAGAGATAGCTATTAATGTTTTGTGTGTGCGTGGGGGGGGGGGGGGGGGGGGGAACCACTGGCTTGACCGGGCCAGTCAAAAAAATCCTTAGCGTTGAACCCTGATATTGTAACAGAGCAGATTATTGCATCATGCCTGACCTTGAGCGATACGCAGTTTGACTTCAAGGTCGACAGGCGTTGACACGACAGACTTGGTGAGGACTAGAACATTCTCCAAACCAATTACCACCACAAGGTAGGGGAAGATTTCCCTGAAAAACAGCAGCAGATAAGACAAATAAGATTTTAAAAGTCAACCAAAACCAACTAGAGAGTGTGAAAATATTTACACAACAACACAGCATTTAGTAAAAAAATTAAATGCATGAAATATGAGGAATGAATACACTAGCCAAACAGAAACACATCCACTCAAGTCAAATAACATACAATTCTGTTAATAATCCATTGTATGCTGGATCAATATGATGTTCGCATGTGGCCCAGATATTGTGTTTGCGCTGAACGTGAGCGAACCCAAATTTGTTTGGACAGCTTGAACTCACACCACTGTGACTTTAAGTCCATACATGCAGTCTTATAGGCTGGCTGAAGACTATCCCTGCCCACTCAAACACTTGTTGGCTATCAAATGTCAATTTTATCAACTGGTTATACATCAACCTGCTTCAAGATCAAAAGTGAATGTTTTATACGTGAGGGATTAAGTCAACAGCAGGCCAGTCATGTTTATGCACAGAATCAGGCTAGTAGTGTGTGAACAAAAGGTGTGTTTTGGCTGAGCTCCTACCCTCCGTTCAGTGTAGGTGTGAGGCCAAACAAGGTGCAGAGTCCCACTGACATGAGTAGAGAGCTGAGGACCGTCACCACCGCAGCCAGCGCCAAACCCCATTTTGACCTCACCATGTCAATCTTTCCTGGGATGTCAGAGTGAACAAGTATTAGCTGAAGTGTTTTTGCCACTAGCACAATAATGACTTCCTTCAGCTTTAGTATACACGTGCAAAACTTTAAGATTTTTCATTAGTTTTAGTTTTTATTTCATTTTAACTTTTTGTTTTCTAATTCAGATCGTTTAAATTAGTTGTTAGAGGCAGATTTACTAGTTTTTATTAGTTTCTATATTTTGAAATTGCTTAGTTTTAGTTTCAGTACTAGTAAAAAAAAACTGTTTTACTTTTTTATTGTTTATAAAACTAGAATATTTGTTAGGTGCAAGATACAAAATCATCAGAAAATTGTATAATAACTAAACCATAGATATGTTTTTGAAATCTGTATTCAGAGGACACTTGACCACTACCATCTACCCATCCTCAAATTCAAACACAACAGCCCACAAGATAGCAGGTCTAAGTACCATTCAATATGTGTGCTTCTGGGGTTAGATACACAGGTACAATTCTCCCATGTTAATTGCTCCCAATTTAGTCAGCAATCATAATTTCAGTCTGTTAAAACATCACTATGATCTAAAAAGTTTCTTAAAATGAATGTTTGCAACCAAACTGAAGTATGATTCACTTATTTAAATTCCATTACGATTTTCTGTCATTCTGTTATTTATTTCTGTGAAATAAACGTATGTTTCGTCAGATCCTCTTATTTAATCCCTTTGTCTACCCGTGCTGCAGTTGTTCAAGTTTATTTCAATCCCAGCAGGCTATCATGTACTGTTTGTGTTCGGTTTACTGAATCACACATGAGCATTAATATGAGTACACCAGTTCTCAAATCCGATCTCTGTGTAAAGTTACTGTTCTAATAATTGGGCTTGATCTGGCCCATGGCAACAGGAGTCCAAGGTGCCGTACGGCTCAAAAACCTAGCATCGCGAAGTAAATAGATTTACTTCTAAAAGGCTTATGTATTAAATATATTTACAAAGACTAAAATGAAGGATGTTTTTGCTATAATTTTAGGTAGTTTCAGTAAGTTTTGCATGTACACAATGCAGTTTTAGTTAGTTCTAGTTTTTAAAAAGAAATTATTTCATTTAACGAAAATGTTTTTTTAATTCTAGTTTTTGTTTTTTTTCCGTTAACTCTAATAACCTTTGTGCAAACCTCTGATGGAATGAGGGTACATGGACACATTCTTGACGCTGAACGTGCTGTTCTTAGGATAAATGCTAGGCCAGACTGAAAACCCCTTTGGCAAATGCTCAGTTGGAAATCTGTTACGCTAATCCAAAAGCTTTCTGCTGCCAATTTGTCGTTTTGTCTACAGGCACCTGGCAACATGGCAAATTTCAACACTTCCTAATGTTATTAAAACTTTGCAGAATAATCCATAGAAAAAGAAAAATACAAGTCCTTAGATGCCCATCAAAGGGTTTTGACTTTCTCTCTGGTAAACAGTAAACAAATAAATAAATTTAATATAATTGATTTACAGGTGAAGTCAGAATTATGAGCCCACCTGTATATTCTTTTCCAAAATTTTTGTCAAACGGAAAGATTTATTTCAACACTTTTCTAAACATTATAGTTTTAATAACTCATTTCTAATAACTGATTTATTTTATCTTTGCCATGATGACAGCAAATAATATTTTACTAGACATTTTTCAAGATACTAGTGTTCATTAAAGTGACATTTAAAGGCTTAACTAGGTTAATTAGGGTTATTACTAGGGCAAATTAGGGTAATTAGGCAAATCATTGCATAATGATGGTTTATTCTGTAGGCAATTGAAAAAGATATTGCTTAAGCTAATAATATTGACCATAAAATGTTATTAATAATTTAAAAACTGATTTTATTCTAGCTAAAATAAAAAAAAAGTAAAAAACTTTCTCCTGAAGAAAAAAATATTGTAGGAAATACAGTGAAAAATTCCTTGATCCGTTAAACATAATATGGGAGATATTTAAAAAAGACAAAAATATTCACTGGAAGGCTAATAACACTGACTTTACCTGTATATATTTATGGTTTGTAACAAAATGTTATAGCAGTTATTTCACATGAGATGTCTCTTGAAAGTATGTGGCACATTAAACTAAAATATTTCTGGAATTTTCAAAACGCATTTTAAAGGAGTAACTTATTGTTTACAAATCACTGAGACACAGTGATATCCTCTGTTGTAACTCCAAGCTTACAATGTGACAAATTACATTCCACAATCATGTAGTACATAACACACAAACAATGCATGTACACTACTGTTCACTATTTTGTAGTTGGTAATGTTCATTTTTCATGTTTCTTATGGCTGCATCTACTTGATCAAAAACACAGCAAAAACACTAATACTGTGAAATATTGGTGCAATATTGTTTTTCCTGTAGCTCAGATGGTAGAGCATGCTGCTAACAATGGCAAGGCTGTGGGTTGAGCCTCAGGAGAAACAAGAACTGATTAAAAATAAAAGTGTACATTCAAGTACCGTGAATCGCTTAGATAAGGTTAGATAAAGGTGTCTGCCAAGTGTTTAAAAGAAAATTAAAAATATTCTAAAACAAGGTTTCTGCAGGTTTTACAAAGTTAACTTTAAGACTTTTAAAGACCTTTTTATGACCATTATGAACACATTTTTACACTTTTAGGCTAAATGCTAAATATTTTAAAAAAATATACCAGTTAAAAAAGGTTGTCACTTGATAATACAATAGCAATAATTTAGTTTGAATATATATTTTTTTAATTTTCAAATTTATTCATTCACAAAACCTATAACCCCTACCAATAATAGAGCAAAACATAGCTGTCAATGATTGTCTACAATAATAATAATTTAATAATAATTAAAAAAAAGGCAGGTCAGTATCCTCGGCCATAAATAAATGGAGAAGATAAGCAAATATTACAGTAAGAAAAGTAATTAAATGATATTTTTAAATAAAAAGTTAAAAGCTTTATTGTGATGAATTGTTAATGATTGTGTAAGTGTTAATGGCAAGATTGTGTAGCTATACATGAACAGGAAAATTAAGACCTGTTTAAGAAGGATTAAGACCTACAACACAGCATTTCGGTAGATTTAAGACTTTTTAAGGCCTAAATTTTTGCTTTTATGATTTAAGACATTTCAAGAGTTTAAGACCTCATGGACACCCTGTAAAATGCAAATCTTTAAACGCAAAATGTATTACTGTTAAGGTAAAGTACATGTCAGGACTATTTTTGCCATAATTTACCATGTCACTTTAGAAATCATTAGAATGTACTGAATTAGTGCTTTTCTAATTTGCATTTGTAATCAATGTTAAACTGGTATCCATCACATTTGTGATATGATTAAATTAAATAGCACTATCCATCATAATCATCCTAATCAGACTAATCAGACTAATATTATAAATTCTTTCCAAAAAGAGGTATTTAAGTCATCTGATGTTGTACTCAAATGCAATGTATAAATCGCAGAAAATATACTGTATGTGTTGCAATATTAAGGCCGGGACACACCAAGACGACAGTTGGTCGTTGGGCTTCGTCTGTGTTAAATGCTGCATTGTTTACTCTTCGCACGTTAATGTCAGAAGTTCGATTTCTTTTTGTTGAATTAGAAAACAGATTACTTCCACGTGCATGTCCTCTCACACAGGTGGAAAACGCACGCTCTCGAATCAGTTGGCTACCATCCGTTTGGTGTGTTCACATACTGCTTTTTGGTCCAGATGAGCCCAGACATGAGCCAACACACAGTTACAACAGTTAGTTTCTATTTGCGCTAATTGTTTAGACATTGGCTTGTTGTGGCCCGGCCTTTTGATTCAATATTGTGCAGCCTAAGAGATGGTGCTTACGTGTGGAGAAGTAGATATAAGCAAACAAGATGATGTAGGTTGTGACTAAAGGGATGAGCTCAGCGATGCCAATCTCTTCTTTAAAATGGACGTGCACCATGTGGTCTTCACGCAGAGTACAGTTTGCTGATGGATGAAGCTGCTTCAGACGTGCTCGAAGACTGCCTACAAACCTGTCCATAAACACACACAAACAAAGAAGATGCTAAATACTCGTTGTTTTTATAAACTATGAAAAAAACTAGAAAATATGACCATGTCTATGCAAAGGAAGGCTGACCTTGCATCATAGGAGCTTAGTGCAATTGTGACGGTGTATGTCACCACTCTCTTCTTGCTATACAAGCTAACACCCGTCTGCTTCCCTGGGACGCCAAAGAGTAAATCTGAAAAAGCACACAACGGAAAAAAAACTGTAATTTCACAGGTCATAAATGAGCAGCAGGTAACTTGAATTCTGTATTAGATTAAATGGCTATAAGCCGCTCCCTGCCTCTAAGAGTGGCTGAGGTATGAAGGCCTTTGGGTTCATGTTGGTGGACTGTCTTCAGGAGGTCTGGATCAGCATCAAACAGGTCACGCCGGTTCTGCCAATAGTTGCCAGGGGACACCAGCAGACAGCCGTGCTCTGGAAGGACCGCCTGCATGCGCCGCAAACCTGGCAACAAATCTGTCACCTGCAAACACAGCGCCTCCAAACTTCTGTGAAGAGAAGAAAACAAAACAGGAAAAATGAGGTTGAGAAATCCAGCATCGATTAAAAAGCACTAATTAGTCAGGGTGGAAAGTCTCAACCTGTCCGTGTAAACGTGGTTTCTGATCTCATCCAAAAGGCTGAAAACTCGACCAAGAGGAGAGCGAAACACGTCCACAGGGACCAAACTGTTGCCCCATGGTGAAACCGCTGCCTTGACCAACACCTGCTGGATGTAGGCCACTGGAGGTCCCCGATACTGCAAGAAGATTAACAGTTTTGGTTAAAACATAAAAGACTTAGGTCTCAAACTCCTGGAAAAATTCCTGGAGGGCCCCAGCTCTGCACAGTTTTGCACCAACCCTAATCAAACACTCCTTATCCAACTAATCAAGGCGTTCAAGACTACTAGGAACTACCAAGCAGGTGTGAGTTGAAGCTAAACTCTACAGGGAATTGAGTTTGAGACCCAATATAAGAGTGCATGATTTTTATGGCATGTTATGTATATCAGTATTATTTATATTGTTTTTACGGTGTTATTTTCTGTCTGACCTAAGATGAACCTAATTTAAAAATTTCTAGAAAGAAATTATAAGTGGCGCTTGCCTAAGTTATCTCTATGCCACAACGCTAAAGTGCTGTGGGCTGTTGGAAGAATATTGCACTGCCATTGAATCTTTGAAGTGGTTTTTAGTGCAATGGTTGTTCCTACAGTTGCCTGATGTAGGCAAAGACCAGTAAAGGTTTCTGACGGTATAATAACCTTGGACAAAAATATCACGCTTTCACGGTCTCACAGTATTGTGATTACTGCTCTAAAATCTATTCTTTTTAAATGTCCATGTAAAAAACTAAAACTTTTTTCCCCTTTGAAAACTATATATTTTATTTTGTGAAAGATTTATAATATTTTGGAGCAGTAAACATGTCAGGCTAAATAAATCAAATGAATCATTGACTTCTGCTGTCTTTTCTGCTGGAGATACTGTTGTCCTAAAAAAAAGTAAATAAAAAATCTTACACATACCTTAGGAATAATATAGCAGAAAATTTTAGCGCTTTTCCAAATCGCGATATACCTTGAGACGGTTATTGTCTCATGCCTAGCCTGATGTAGATGTGGTAAAAGTCAATAAGTAAGCCGTTAGGGGGATTATTGTCCATTAGGTAAAATGGTTTAAATCTGATAGCTTAGAAGGTAATAAAACATCTTTTTTTGGATTTCAGATTTTTATTTAAGTCCACAAAACTAACCAATACTAGAACCAATATTTGCCTTAAAAATATATATCTTATCATTAGGGCTGCACAACAGATGGTTTTAGCATCGCTATTGCAATGAGACAATTCGCAATGGTCACACTGACGATATGTTGAGTCTGTGTGAAAATGTGTCATTTGGATGTGTTTTTTGAAGCCTGAGGATTTTAAAAGCATTTAGCATAAGAAATTGTGCTCTTTCTACATTTTAATGATTAATTTTATTGAATTATTCTTTTCATTTAATTACTGTAGCTGAATACTGATAAACAAAGAAAACAAAGCACTGTATCTTTTTCTTTATTGAATTTATTGATGGTTTTAATTTGTTTATTAGATTTTATGCAGCTGAACAATATCCCAATCAATCTAAATTGATTAATTCTGTGCAAATAGAGATATTCAAGTAACTTGGAAATCATATTGCAGTATATAATCGGAGTATAACAAAATATTGCAATGTTAGAGTTTTCCAATACCATGCAGACCTACTAAACATTGTAAATAAAACAATGCACATGCCTAGGCCCAGACTTTTATGCTTACCAAGGCTGTAGTTATTTGGCAATAATGTAAAACATAATTTCAATAAAAGCTTTTTAAATTCTTGATTATTTAAAAATATAAGTTGCTTCCAATGATCCTTCAGAAATATTGTTTGTCAATTAACATTTCTTACACATTCTGATAAAAATAATAGAACTGATGAATAAAGTTCAGAATTGATTTAAAAAAGCAACCTCTGATAACATAAAAAGCTTTCAAGAGTTCACACTTAGCTGATGATCAGTGAAGCGTAATTGGCATGCTGTGCCGGGAGAGAGCCCTGTGCTCATAATATCCACGAGCCTGGGGCTCCCTCCCGTTAGAAGGGCGAGAGGGGCGAGAGGGGAGGTCTCAAGAACACTCCTGTTTGTCACCGTTTGAGAAGTGTAAACTAAGGTTGTCTTAGGTGATAATTTGGTTAAGTCGATTGGCTATGGTGTATGTTTTTGGACGGTGGGAGGAAACCAGGGAACCCAGGGGAAACCCATGCATGTTCTCCCAAACACTGGAGAACATGCAAACTCCGCACAGAAACGCCAACCAGCCTAATAGGAGGCTTGACCAGCGGCGTTCTTGCTGTGAGGCAACAGTGCAAGCCACTAGGCCACAGTGTTGCCCTATAAGAAAAAGGGGGGGAGGAAGGGGAGAAACTTCAAGACGAAGATAACTGGAGTGAAAAGCTCTGGTTATTTATAATGCGTCCATAATCATCTAATAGGGCAGATTATGGAGCTAATGAGATGCCAGCCGTGTTGATCATAAGCACGTGATCCTCTCGAAATTAGTTTATAAATAAACCGCACTTAATGTTAATGCACATCACTGCATATCAAAAGTGCCTTTTATCTTACCCAATCCGGTCGCTCTGACAGGTCCCCCTGAGACTCATGGGATGGGATCGAGTAATCTCGTACTCCAGTGGTGAACTCCACAGGCCCCGTTCCTGGTAGAGGCAGCTTCAGCAGAGGGTAACTGTAAATGAAAGCATGGTCACACAACAACAAATCAATCTTTATTACTAACGTCAAGCTGCATTCCTCATAGACACAACATCTCCAAACTGAGGCCTTCTCACAGAGCCCTGAAAAGCTCCATACCACAAATAATATTTGAATAAAAATGGTACAAAATATGCAAAGTGTTGTTTTGCATTTTTTTACTGAGTTTTAAAGCTTTCACTCAGTCACGCAAAGGTGCAGCAAGAGTGAACATTGTAAATTTGTACCAGGAGGGAGACGAGATCAATATGATCATGCTGTCATCCCTCAGGCAAAAACAAGCTTTCAGAAGGCTAGGGTTTCTACTCTTTCTAGGAAAAATGATTGCACAATGCCCTCAGCAGCACACACATGCAGAGAGGAAAACTCTCCAGATGGACAATCTGACCAGCCCCTACATGTCACAAAAGAAGCATCAGTCACTATCCTTTAAAATGCCTGAAAATCCCTGGTTATCCTCTACTCACACTAGCAGTGTGTTAAAGAGAGGAGCTTAAAACATGTGACACTGCTGACATAAGGAACAGTAGGCGGTTGTGCAAATTACACCTGGAATGTCCTCTTCAAAACAAGGCTCAGACTCTTTCCATTGCTTTGGAAAAGTATTTAACGGAGCCTGCTTCACTGAAGAGCTGTTTCCTGGAAGATGAACAAGGGTGTGTTCACCATGGTTTTTTGGTTCTCTTTGTTGGTTTAAATATGGACAAAAAGGAAACAGACATAAAGCACATCTTAAGTCCTAGTTTGCTCGGCATTTACACTATAATTACTGATTATACATTTTTATTTTGCTTTTTCAAGAATTAACAAACTAACTAAATTAAAACATACACAGTATATAAAATAAATAAGAAAAATTAAATGAAATAAATAAATAAAAAAGGGAGGAGATACAGTAGAAACCAGTAGAAACAAAAACATTTTGTCAAATCAAATCAAGTGGTACTGTTTTAATGTAGTTCAAAAATGGATTCCAAATCTTTTTAAATACTTCATCCTTTCCTCTCAAAGAATATGTGATCTTCTCCAATGGTATACAGTTAAAACTTCTGAGATCCACAGTCCAATTGGTACATCAATGTCTGTTTTCCATTTTAAAGCACACTACAATTTTCAAAAGCAAACATACAGACATAAATTGTGTGATGAACTTACTTTTGTCTGTGTTGCGGACATATTTTAGTCAAACCTTACCAAAGTTTGAGTGGAGTCAGTTTTCTTGTTTACTGCACACCAGGGTTTGGGTGGCAGTGTTCACATTCTTCAAAACGAACCACACTACCAGAGCAATCAATCAGCTTGTTTTAATATAACCAAACCTGTCAATTGTGAAAACACCCTTAAGCAAACTAAATATTTCTTTCAGGGGAGCTGTGACCTTGCCATAAGTTCAACATGCACACCGTAGAATTCCACCTTGACAGATGAATTCACTTTATTAGCGTGACGGTGCCCACATCAGTGAACAATGGCATTTCAGTGTTTATAAATGCACGCTATTGTTATGTTGTCTGCTACTTAAAGCTGTTAAAAGTCGTGTGGATTTTGATGGGCATATTTCTTTATCATTCATCAGCAGGTAAAAATTCATCTGTGCATTCTTTCAATGGTTTTGAATTTAAGGATGCACCGAAATTAAAATGATGGATGCACTTGGCTAAAAACTGAAAATACTTTGTTTATTATTTTATTTATTCGTAATATTTCTAAGACTTTTTAAAAGTAACTGAATAACTATAATAAAAGTCCCTTTAAGGCAAGCCATTTCACTCGGCGACCAACTTTAAAAGGTTTCTCGGGCATTCTGTTTGAATGGGAAAACATCAAATTCTCCAAAACTGCTTGCCAAGCTTACGATTACATTACATCGAAGGAATCATCAATTAAATTAAACAGCAACTGTCTCTTTAGTTTAATGTCCAAATGTTCAAATCACACAACATCTGCAAAAAACTCTGGTCCGAGCCCCTCCTCCAGAGAGTCGAAAAATGATTGGCTACTGTACTAGAAGGCGGGGCTTCATTTGCCGCTACAATTTTCTCCATTTAAAACTATACGAGTGACATGTCTTGTGTATTCTATAGTCTTTGATTATACTGATTAAAAAAACAAACCAATAAAACAACCACATTTTATAGACAGTATTATGTTATTAACTGTGACTATTTTTTATATTATTCTTTTAGAGCAGGGGTGCCCAAACTTGGTCCTGAAGGGCCGATTTACTGCATAGTTTAGCTCCAATTTGCTTTACCATACCTGCCTGGAAGTTTCTAGTATAGCTAGAAAGAGCTTGATTAGCTGAGTTTGATGTGTTTAATTAGGGTTGTAACTAAAATATGCAGCACACCAGCCTTCCAAGACCGAGTTTGGGCACCCCTGTTTTAGAAACATAATTTTATCATCATTAGATGACTGCACAGTAGAGCTATTGCAAGCAACAAATGCAAGCATGTTAAAAAGAAATGAACGTTGGTGGACTCTACGTGTAATTTGAATGGACTTTCCTATTCTGGTGAGCATGAATGATTTATGCATTGATATTCTTAAATCATTATTTTTGCTTTATGACCACACAAAATAGTCTCGTAGCTTGATAATATACTGATTGAATCACATAAGACAATGTGGTCTGTTTTTGAGGCTGTTTTTGGTTACTTTCTGGACTTGTGCGTAGAAAAACCATGAAACATGGAGGATAAGACAGCTCTCCAATTTCACCTAAAATATCTCAATTTGCGCCAAGATGGCACAGTGGGTAGCGCTGTTGCCTCACAGCTAAAAGGTCGCTGGTTTGAGCCGCAGCTGAGTCACTTGGCATTTATGTGTGGAGTTTGCATGTTCTCCACGTGTTTGTGTGAGTTTTCTCTGGGTGCTCCTTAGTCCAAAGATAGAGCTATTGGTGAATTGGATAAGCTGAATTGTCTGTATTGTATGTGTGTGAATGAGTGTGTATGGATGTTTCCCAGTCATGGGTTGCAGCTGGAAGGGCATCCGCTGCATAAAACATATGCTGGATAAGTTGGGGGTTCATTCCACTGTGGCGACCCCTGATTAATAAAGGGACTAAGCTAAAGAGAAAATGAATGAATATCTCAATTTGTATGACATGAGGGTGAGTAATTAATAAAGAATTAAAAATTTTGGGTGAACTAACCCTTTTGTGTCAAGTCAAGCTTTTCCACATATCTGCACTTTCTGTTTTCCAGCTCCAAAAGGACTGACAAGTAGTTTCCACCATCACAAAAGCCTACTTCTTTTCCTCCAGACACTGGGCTACACACCGAGAGAAGCGTTCACACACTCACTCTTTTCCACATGGATTGCCCTTTATCTGAAGCATCAGAGTCTTAATTCACATTTTGCTGACAGAGGCCAAATGAAAAGGCATGAGAAAAACATTTTCTCCTGTTCTTAGTACCAGTTTTGTGTTTGCGATACAGACAGTCCTCTTGGCATGATCCTACATTTGATACACACTGTGCAGAACAACCAACCACAAGACAAATTAATTCCTTTTCCATCACCTCACACGTCTTAACATCACAAAACATCCCACCCCGAGATTTTATAGGTGATTTCACAGCAGCACAAAAGAACACGCAGTGCTTCAAAAATTGATAGAGCTGTGGATTTTTGGTCTTGTGCACAACACTTCCATGCATTTCCTTCAAATTCATTCTGCAATAGTGGGATGCCACAACAAAAGCTTGCCCACCATGACTGCAGGTTGTCACTGACATCATCATATCATTGCATTTGGGTATTTTATAGCGGAGGAGACAGAAGGGTCACACAGCAGACAAAAAAAATCAGTGCACCATGTGATTAAAATGTGGACATTCAGAAGACAGTTCAATATCCTGCCAGTGCACAGAGAGCTTCTCACATCACTTTACCTTAAATTAAATTGTAATTGTCTTAAATAGTTGTTAACAAGCCTACAAGGCTGGAAGGTTGTGTTTAGTGCATCTTTTAGAAAACAGGGTTTCTGCAGGTTTCACCAAGTCAAACTTAAGATTTTTTAAGACCAGTATGAAGTAAATTTCAGATTTACATGGGGCTAAGCACTAGGGATTGTTTGTAATGGCATGGTGGGGCCAATGAAAAAGATTTGAACTTGCCTCATCGAACAAAATTTTAATTTAGTTATACCTTAATCACGTTTTATATTTGTCAAAACAAGCAAAATCTAGTTGAAATATTTACAAAACTATATTAAACAAAACGTATGCACAAGAGTGTGTCTAAAACACATAGAGAATTTTTACTATTGGTAAATAGAGGTAAATATTTAACTTTTTTTAACGTTTTATGTTTTAAAGATGAATTATTGGTTATTGGTAAGCCCGATCAGGTAACTTTACTAAGACATAGGAAAATTAAGACCCGTTTAAAATGATTAAAGACCACACAATTTACAACACGGCTTTCCAGTAAATTTAAGACCTTTTAAGGCCTTTAGTTTTTAAAATGCAAGACATTTAAGACCCCACAGACAACCCTGCAAATGCTCATTTTCCTGTGGTTTGAAAAAGTGTGTATGTTTTGAATAAGAGCTGATGTTTTTGATCTTATTTTTTTAACCTGCAAACTCATCAACATCCCTTTGTTGACTTAAACTCTTAAATTTAACTTCTGCATGTTTGTTGTTTAGATCAACTAATTTAAGCTAGATCGGAAGTAGGGCTGAGTATCGAAGGTGATATTTTTAAGCACTAACCAAACTGTCTCAATTCTAGTATCTATGAATGTCTTGTCTGACGGTACAAAGTATCGATACCTTAATGAATAAAATGACATAAGTGTTAGTGAATTGCATGTGTAGGATGGCAAATCTATGGAAAAAATAACTGAACTAAAATAAATAAACAGATGCTGGCAGCCTAGGTGAATTGTTTCTGCGAGAGGATACGATGTATACATAGAAACGAAAGTCCATTCATGCAAAAGCCCAGCACAGTTTCGAATTTAAAATATCATATCAAAAACTTTTAAATGGTACGCAGCCCTAACTTGACGTGAAATGTTGTGTCCAGTGTGTGATACCTGTGAAGCTGTTGTAGATGTTATTTAACCCTTAAAACATTATAGACTGTAAAAAATAGCCATGGATTCAATGGTAAAAAAACTGTAAAATGCTTCAGATGCTAAATATATGTGTCACACTTTAGTTTAAGGTTCAATTCTTGCTATTAACAAACCATTAACAAAGACTTTTAGCTCAATAAAATACTAATGTGCTGCTTATTAATAGTTAGTTAGGTACCTTAGGGTATTGATGTAGAATAAGAACATATTTTATAAGTACTATATAATAGCCAACATCCTAATCATAGGCAGGTAATACACCAGTCATTAATAGTGGGAATTGTTACTTAAATAAAAATATGTTACCAGAATAACAGTCAGTGTCCTTATGATGAATCACAAAAAATTTACTTTCCAAAATTCCTTTAGTGACACTTCAGTTTATCGTTTGGCATTTCTTTCTTCTTATTTGTTTTGTACATTAGAGTATGATACTGAATCTAATGTTATTAATAATATTTATTGCATTAATTAGTGTCATGTATTACCATGGTGGTGGAGTATTAACATTTTATAATTTAATGAAATACAGTAGTTTACTGTAAACATAGAATAGCTTTCCTGCTTATTTTGTAGCTAAAATTCTGCCAATCAAAGAGAATTTTAGTCATTTTTATTTAAAGGTGTACACTACTGACTGACAGAGGACCACCTGCCCCCTCTCTGGTATGACTTTGTCCATGATAGAGTCATCCTACTATTATTTAAATAGTGAAGTAAATGATTAACAGTAGATTTACAGCCTGTGTGTGAGTACAGCGATGTTTGTGTGGATAGTCCTTGCATCCTGCCACCACAGGTAAATTAAACATTGTGCTTCACTGCTACTTATCAATAATAAAAGCATATGTGCAGGCTCACCAGCAGGTCAGGATGCTGGCAGAGGTGAAGAGAATGATGGGAACCGGGTATGAGGCGCATAGCAGGCCGTGCCGGTAGAAGGCGGCCGAGATGTTCTGCCGAAGCCGCTCTCTCACCGTCATCCTGGGCGCGGGGGTCAGCTGATGGCCATCGAGTCTGCGTGTGCGGCCAGGGCGAGGGCACCGCCGGGCATCCAGGGATCTGTGCAAATATGTACACAACCCAAGTGTAAATAGAGCTGGAGAATTTCATTCATGGTGTGAAGAGATTTACCTGTTCTTCTGCTGACTGATAAAAAAAACTAAATCAAACACTTTTTTTAAGAGTATTTGATACACATTTAAAGTATTATGGACATTTTATCACTCTCATTCAGCCACAGGATATTATGGGAAATCTGTAACAAACCTGTCAAGTTTTTAATTTAACACTAGACAAGCATTAGTGCTTCTCAATAAAGTTCAATTTTTTAGCATTATATAATTATTTCAGAATCAAAAACTATTTTTTTTGCATTCGTTAACATATTAAGTTAACATTTAACTTAATAATATTTACAATGCTGCTTTGTTTTTAATATATTAACTTGAATGAATCATACATAATAAATACAAAAGAAAACGATGTGTTAGAGAGAGTTTTGACTCTATTGCCATATTATTATTTTATTATACCTCACATTTATATAGCGCTTTACACATTTTTGGGGGAATCTCCTTAACTACCACCACTGTGCAGCATCCACCTGGATCATGCAACAGCAGTTATATTGCGCCAGACAGCACACCAGACAACAGATTATTGGTTGACAGGAGACAGAGTGATGAAGCCAATTATGATATGGGGACGGTCAGGTGGCCAGTGGGAAATATGGCCAGGATGCCAGGGTTAAACCCCTACTCCTTTTTTTAAAAGACATCCTGGGATTTTTAACAACCTCGGTTTAACATCTCATCCGAAAGACGGTGCTCACTGACAGTATAGAGTCCCCATCGATATAGTGATGCGTTAGGACCCACACAGACTGCAGGTTGAGCGCCACTGCTGGTCTAACTAACACCACTTCTGGCAACAACCTAGCTTTCCCACGTGGTCTCCAGGTACTGACCAGGCTACTGACCTAGCTTCAGTGGGCGACCATGTGAGAGTTGCAGAGAGCTAGCTGCCGGCCAATATCCGCTTCTCTGGCTATTTCATGGCAAAATGTACATTTTATAAATATCACTTTTCTGCAATAAAACAAAAATTATAAAGACATCGACAGCAATAAATAATACAAAAGAAAATTAAATGTTTTTAAGGTTTACTTTAAATTCTACCATTTTTGAAGGATCCACATTTAAAAATATTTCCCTTAAAGTGTCTCCAGGTTAAAATCGTTGTCTGATTATAATAAAAATCCGCTTGTTAAGTCGTGATGTTTGAAATACTCTTTCCAGGTCCAAGCCGCTACTCATTTAAAAGGAGAAAATATTTGTTTATGACCACTTTTTAGTCACATCACACATTAAAGTGAATTTTATATAAAATCATGGTGTACACATCAGTCTCTGGACTTGCTGCATCACAGTCACCAATATTTTAACAATTTATAAATAATTAATCAATCACTTTCTGGCCATCGGATATTAGGTATGAATATATATATACTGCTCGATTATGGGAAAAATCATAATCACGATTATTTTGGTCATAATTGTAATCACGATTATTCAAAACGATTATCAGTTGAAGTCAAAAATATTCATCCTCCAGTGAATTTATTTTTATATATAAATATTTCCCAAATTATGTTTAACAGAGGGATTTCTTTACAGTATTTCCTATAATATTTTTTTCTCCTGGAGAAAGGCTTATTTGTTTTGTTTCAGCTAGAATAAAAGCAGGTTTGAATATTTTGAAATCTATTTTAATAGCTCGATATAATTAGCCCCTTTAAGCAATACATATGTTTGATTGTCTGCAGAAGAAACTACTGATATACAATGACTTGTCTATTTACCCTTATTAAGCCTTTGAATGTCACTTTAAGCTGAATACTAGTATCTTGAAAAACATCTAGTAAAATATAATGTACTGTCATCATAGCAAAGATAAAAGAAATCAGTTATTAGAAATGAGTTATTAAATCTGTTATGTTTAAACTGTGCTTTAAGCATCTTCACTGTATTTTTAATTTTATTATTAATTAATAATATAAACAGTCGGCAGCAGCAGGAATACCGCACGCTCACTTTAAGAATAGTGCGGCTCTGATATGGTTTCTCGTGTCTTTTGATTCTCAACTTGTTAGTTTATTACACAAATGAGGGTTAATATGAATAATCACTAAACACCGCGCTCTGACACAAATGTGCATGTATTTCACCATTACAGCGCTCACATTAAGATCGCGTTAGATGTGTGTGTGCTCTGCTGTCCGAGGCTAAGCGCGGCACACACACACGCTACCTGTCAGAGGCTAAACATGGCGTGCACACACACACAACAGCACGTGCTCTTTTGCGCTTTTAAAAATAAGAATGATGCGCATCCCGTGCTGCAAAAGTTACTATACAGAACATGCTTTTAGTCATTTTCACGTGGAACTTAGTTTTGCAGAGGCAAAGAGTTTTCATACGTGTACAACTGGAAAGGGGGCGGTACGTGATAATCGTTTATCTCTATTAATGGTTTTTCATAATCGTTAAAAGCCAAAATCGAAATCGAAATCTGATTTTTCGGTTAATTGCACAGCCCTAATATATATATATATATATATATATATATATATATATATATATATATATTTAGCGATGATGATTTTCGAAAGCATTACAGTGGTTTGTAACGTTAATTATTACCATTTGTTAAGTCTCCCTACGTAGTTTGATATAGCGCTTGGACCAAGAAGCTTTTTCGCTTCACATCTCACACAACAAGTGGATAGAGCAATCCAGAAGTATACGTTTAACATTTTCTGTTTCTGTTGCAATATTACCATTTTGGGGAAACTTCTCCTTTGAGTAAGTGTCCAAGTACAAGTCCTATAAGAGATTTCTTTAAATAAAAAATAAATGACCAAATAAATAATAATAATAATAATAATTATTATTATTATTATTATTATTATAAACAAAATCTGACCAACCTAAGCAGTAGTTGTTACACCGTATCAAGTAGCAAATGTTACCAGCAACTCCTTACTAAATTCTAAAATAACTTTTTTTTGTTTGTTTGTTTACATTTATGATACCAAACACTCCAACCAATGTTTTCTAATTGAATGTTAATGAAAACCTCAGTCTAAACAAATCTCTGCTAACAGCTAGCATCTCATTATTTTAAAACAACTCTCCATTTGATTTAACCCTTTGCTCATTGGTAGATTCTGGACTTTTAAACTCTGAAACCAGAGGGTTCAAGGGTTATGCTGGCGGTCTATGCTTTACAAAGAGCCCTTTTTGTCAACTGGGACTACACCACAGAGAAGAAACATTCCTCCGAGGACTTCACCTCCTGAGAGGCCAGCGTTCATGCATTTCTATAAATATTACATGAACAAGATGACACACACAGCCTCACAGAGATGCTACACATTGGCTACTCAAGCTTGTGGGCAACTTGCATTAAGCCGTGATGCAACAGATTTCATAAAAAAAACGGACAGAGAAGGAGAACTACAGTGTGGCAAACAAAGAATATAACCAGAATAAACCAGAACACAGTGCTGCTCAGTACGAATGAGAACACCACCTTTTGAAAATGTTTTTTTCATATTTAGTCAACAATGTTTGGTGCATTTAAACAAAACTGTTTTTAAACCGCTATAAGGATAAAAATAAGAGTTTGGTCACCTAAAAACAATACACTTCAATTCCACTGACCAAACGAAAATTCAACTCAATATGATATTTGTTATGTTTCTCTTGATTTTAATAGTTTAAACATACTAATTTGGTAAATAATAAACAGGGATCTTTTTTTGTTAGATTAGTTCCAGTTTTGGCTTTGGTACAGACTAATCTACTCTATATGCACAACATATTGCTGAAATCATTCTACAGAATATATTACATCTGTGGGGGTGTACTCATTTATGGATAGCATTGTATATATGAACAATAACAAATCTAAACACATTAATCTAAACTGTTGAATTGTTACTATGCAGATCTGTCAAATCAAACCAGCGGCAATGCAAGAAACTGTTAGCAGATATTACAAGAAGCACACTGAACTCAGAAAATGCCTAAAAATGCAAACGGATCAGACATCTTAGACACAGAAATAATTCTAATGGACAGCTTAATGATGTTTCACAACAGAGATTTAAACGGCTTATTAAATGCAATAATTTACTCAAAAAAAGAAAAGAAAAAGAAACAAAAAAAGTCCTTTTTCACACAAAAGCAACATATTAAATCAATATATCTGCTTAAAATATCAAATGTTGTTGATAAGTTAATTTAAACTAGGTTAATTACAATATTTGCAGGATTGTTCTACATATAATATTACCAAAAGAATAACATGCTGAACACATGCAGTGTTAAATCATATATTAAAAAGAAACATTTTTATAAAATGTGTGATTGCTTAACACAATAACAACAACAACAACAACTACGTACAATAAAATATTAGTAAACAACACATAATAAAAATCCTGGGTTCCACACGATCGATTTGTGTTGGGACAACATGAAGAAATGAAGTTAACTTATTAGTTTTTACCAATTTAAGTTGATTAAACACTAAACAATTAAGTTGTCCCAAGAAAACCCAAGAATTGTGCTGTTTTAGCTCATTTAAAATAAGTTGTTTAAGCAAACAGCAAACACATTTTTTGAGTGCATGTCAATTGTGGTCAAAATGCAAACTGCCTCCCCCCCAAAAATGCCCCCAGCAAGGTATACTTTAGTTTTAGGTGCATGCGATGGTTCATGCATATGAACATGAATGTAATAATTTCTTGCATCGTAACAAATGAAGTTTGGAAAGATTGTGTGTTTAACTTAATAGTGCATTTAAAAAAATAATGAATGAATAAATAATTTGAATGGATATTGCACCCAATTACACATAAAGTTTATTTATAAATGCTTAATTGAACATTTTATATTTTATTTGAATCTTTTCTAAAGCCTGGAATGTGCATTTTAAATCCATTTAAATGAGCGGAAATAGATTCAATTAAAACAAGCAACTATCACAAAGTGAGTCATGCACATTTGATAGAAATTAAAATTATGACTGGAATTTGAGTTGAATTCTTCACATTTATACAACATTTACTTTCACAAACAAATAAACAGGTAAGAATCTCATTTTGACCAACAGTCTATTACTCCTCTGAAACATTTAAAAGAGACTTTCAGTCCAAACAAACGATTAAAAATCTGCAAACCAAATTCTACTACATAAAAACAGTAAATGACTTCAAATATGAGGAATTGTCTAAGTGTAGGCTGATAAAAACTTGTGGTTGAATGCTGAACCTGCTGTTAACGAAAAACATTACCTGAAAGCTTGATCACGCATAAAAAAAGTGTAAATCTATCAAACGTGTCTGGTTAAAATGTTAAGTGCAATACGAAGTTGCTAGTTTGGATCATCAAAAAAAAAAAAAAAAAAAAAAAGCTAATGATTTTAACTACTGAATAATGATTTCAACTACTGAATAATGATTTCAACTACGTTAAATACTATGTGGCATTTAAACTGCTTAATTCTAAAAGGTGTTCAAAATTAGGTAATATCTCAAAATTCCATCTCAGGGAAAATTCAATCTTCACTAATCTAAATAATAAATAAACATGTTAGCTGTCAAACTCTACAGACACAGTGCAGATTTATGTCTGTGTGAATATGTTCCCCAGGTAATCATCTAAATATAAATCTTCTGCATAACAGCTGTCATTTATGAGAGTTTAGCAAGGTTATTCAAATGATCACTTCCACATTAAAGAAATGATCTAAAAAACATCACTTTTTGTAAGTACTTTCCACCAAATAAAATGTGTTGTAAATAATCAATTTAATTTAAGAAAAATAAATAAATATTACTATGTTATTTATTATTGTTGTTGTGTCTGATAACCAGGGCCAGACGGAATCTGCATAAGTTATGAGTATGATAATTAAAACCTTAAAATGTGAAATAAAAAGTAATACCTTTTAAACTTTTATTTAATGTTTAAATTACAAATCCAATCAGATGCACTTTATTTGGTAAACAGTACAAGTCTCTCATATAAAATATCTACTAAAATACAGAAAATATTACTGTACAAACTGTATTGTGCATAAATCAGATACACATTTTCATATTAGTCAGTAATATTAGTGTAATTAATAAAAACATATATAAATATAGATTTACACACATTTACTCAAGTAAATAAACAGAATTAATGATGGGCTAGAAATCTGCAGAATTCTGCGGAAAATCTGCAGAATTCTGCGGAAAATCTGCAGAATTCTGCGCGTGCAGATTCCGTGTGGGCCTACTGATGATAACTTATAAGTACCTATTAATTTTAACATTTCTAAATGTAATCTAGTTCCACAGCAGAAAAGGTAAACAGTAATTCTTGTTAGTATCAGTCATAGTCAACTTGGGACACATATAATGGCTTATAACTAAAGCATGACACTAAAAACAGAACTATTCACAAAACATTTTAAACTATCTTAGGCTTTAATGCAAAAATACCGTATAACAGTATAAGATTAGGGTAATATACTCACATAATTCTGTCGTAAGACATTGGTACAGCGACGTATGAAATAGTACTACTCATTGTAGTTTGATACATACTGCAACGTTGTTTATCAGACTATTATCATTAATCCAATGTTGCTCCACACAACACCATTGCACTGTTATGGTACTCCATAACCTATTGCACTTTAATAATCCAGTGTGCAATGCCTAGTATGATGTCACATCTGACGTTACATGTCAATCAATTAAACTGTAAATTGGCTGAGCTGAGATCAGCACCAAAGCTAACAGCCGCCAAACAATGCATACATGCCGTTCTGCATTAACTAAATTGTTTGAGCTTCCTATGCTCTTTCACAACACTCGGGTATCATTTATTTATCTTTGTTTTGTGAAAGATGAACCTGAAACACGTCTCCATGGCATTATCTTTAGCCGAACTGCTAGCGATTTAGCATTAGCAACAGTACATGTATTAAACACCTGCTGGTTTAATTCACACATATACAGACACACTACCTCTAATAATTACACTTTAAAATATACATTTAATCGCCTCAGCGTAACGACAAACTATAAGTTATACACGTTAGGTTATTTCGGAAGCGCTTTGACAGCTTGTTTCTGGAGCAGCTAACAGGGATGAGCACCAAGGGCCCTGCCATGCTTCTAAATGCTCTAATTTGGCAATTTCACCACACAAACCACAACAACAGCATTGAAATGATCGCTTACCCTAATGGCGGGTGCTTCTCTTCCTCTTCGAGGGCTTTTATTAACAGTGAATAGCTCTCGTTGAGCTGCAGCAGGCAGGTGGCTGTGAGTCTCTAGTGTTCTGCCAGCATCATGTCAGCTACTGTAAGCCACTATCCAACCAACGTGACCCCTCAACTTCAACCTCCAGCGAAATACATTAAGCGTCAAACTACGGCCTCTATCGGGCGTTATGGAAAATGACAAACCTTTACAATGCATTAAAGTGCGACCTCTGCTGCCACTTGAAGAAACATAATAATTAAAGTGAAGATTCTTGTCAATACGACCAAAATGACAGAGTAAAGACTAACTCATAATAATTCGCTCAAAAATATTTTTATTAATTATTGGCGTCACAATATAATATAAAGCACAATGATAAAAATAATTCATGTAATGAATACAGATGTAATAGAAATGAACAGACACTCGACATTTAAATGATGCCTAAAAGACGTCAACGCCGCAGACGTTCTATAATGTGACATCATAGCCTAACTGGCATTCCACAAATTCCATGAGATTTGTCAGTCTCACACTGTCTATCGCTCGTTCAAGCTCGTTTTTGCAGTTGTTGAGAAAATCCAATCCCGTTTTTCAACATGTGGTTCAGAAACGCTTTGAGTCGCGTCCTGCCACGACCTAAAGAACGTCGTGAAGTGAGCTCCTATACAAAGTTGATGGCGAGTTGTGTGAAAAACACCACCTACCCATCTGAGTCTGACCTGAAGGCCTGTTTTGACCCTTCCTCGTCTGTTCTGCCTAATCCTGGGAGCACAACAGCAAAGAAGGGCAAACATTCACCTCTCCAACAATCTCCTATTCCTGTTCTGAAGCAAAACCGTGTTCCTGTGGAGCCTGTCAACCAGCAGAGCTTCACAGACGGCCCTCCAGAACAGCTAGGAGAGAGTTCGAAGGTCAGAGTGCAAAACATCATCTTCCCACGTGAGTTTGAGTCGAATGCCAGTGTTAAGCGTTCCTCATCTCCCCTGTCTCATTCTGGGAGTGGAGAAGTGATGGCGGAAAAGATTTTCGCTGTCCGCAAAAACCTTCCTTTTCTGAAGCCACACCGGATGCCTGTGAAGCCTGTCAACAAGCAGAACTTCACAGACGGATATCCAAAACAGCAAGGTGTGAGCTCGAAGGTTTCAGTGAAAAACATCATCTTCCCGTGTGAGTCTGAGCTGAATGGGAACTGTTCCTCAACTCTTATGGAGCCAAACCATGTTCCTGTGGTGCCCATTGATGGACAAAGGTTCACATATGGACCCCCAAAATATCAAGGAGTGAGCTCTCCTAAGCACAAGACGGAAGTCTCAGTGAAAAATATCAGCTTTCCGTCTTGTGAGTCTGGTGTAATTCCCAGAGTTGAACTTTCACTACCTGTTCTGCCATTGTTGAAGCCAAACTGTGCTCCTGTGAAGCGTTTGGCTGTGCAGAAGTCCATTGATGGACCTCCAGCGTCCAGGTTTCCTGCTCAACTATTGAATGAGACAGAGAGAAATGTCGTCAAGGCTTCACCACTCCGCCAGGATGCTCCTGCTGCACCTGCACACTTGCCTAGTTTGAAGCCAAAATGTGCTCCTGTAAAGCCTGTTGAAGGACAGAAAAAGCCAACTGGACGTTTCTTCTTGACAAAGACTGGCAAAAAGATATCAGAGTCATGTGGAAGATCTCCTGAGCATGGAGGAGTGAAGTCTCCTAGGAATCTGCTAGAAGTTTCAGGTAAAAACATCACTAAGCATTCATGTAAGTCTGATTTGATTGCCAGTGATGACCTTTCTTTACCTGTTCTGCCTTTTTTTGGGAAACGAGCAGCAGAAACAAACAAGTGCCAGAATCCTGTCGCTGTGCCCATACACTTGCCCGCATTGAAGCCAGGTCGTACTCTTGTGAAGCCTTCAGCTAGACAGAAGTTCACAGATCGATCTTCAGGGCATCAAGTGTCCAGGTTTTCTACCTTTGTAAATAATGAGGCACACAGAAACGGCAGCGACCCTGAGGTTAAGACTCACATTTCCTTACCCAGACTGCCAGGTTTTCCAAAAGGACCAGTGAAGGTAAGCAAACAAACATTTGTGCGTGTTCCTATGATCACTAACATGCCTGCTCTGAAACTAACCCATGTTCCTGTGCTATCTGTTGGTGACACACAGAAAAGAGTCGCTGGTGCTGAGACAAAAAATCTCATGTTGAGTCAAACTGATGATGAGGATGTCAAGATGAAGAGGCCTCAGTCAGCTAAAAGCAACCGTCTTCCGCTCTCAAGAATCTGCTTGGGGTTTACAGAGCATCCACATGAGAACAAATCAGAAACATGTTTGTGAATAACAGTGCATGAAAACTGCTTTGAAGTGTGCTTTGTTCACCAATAAATGTTTTGTGCATTAAAATGATTCTTTGTGCATCCATTTGTTGTGTTTGTTCTTTGCGCAGTATAAATTTAAAAACCTTTCTTGATCATAAAATGTATTAATCATTTAATTTTGTTGGTCAGAAAATAAACATTCAATGTCAGTTAATAAAAAAAAAACATTAAGAAACATGTAATTTCACCTTATACAATTTCACATTTCTTTAAAACATTTCATACTGTTGGGCAAATGTTAATGTTAATAATGTTTTAACCTATGATGATCGGTAAAACAAATTATAAAATTAGCTTTAAAAATTTTTATTATTTATTTAAATGCCCAAGTTTGGTTAGTTTGGTGTCCAAACTATTTACCAAATATCATTGAGAGCCGTGAGTCGAAGATACACACACCAAACTAAACCACAAAACATAATTACATTAATACACAGTAGAGTTCAGTGCTGAATACACTAGTCAAGCAGAATCTGCCTTCGCCTTGATTCACCCACTGAAGTCTCTGCATTATCCTTCATCTGTCGTAGTACATTTTAAACAAAATCTGAATAAATTACACCATTTAAATTTAAATATTTAATAATAGTTTTTTTCAAGCTTAACAATAAAATAGACAAATAAAAGGTTACATTAAATTTGAAAATACAATCTCTAAAACATTCCCAGATGGGATAGTGGGCTAAATCAAAAGTTCCCAGGGGGCAATATTGGCTCACGGGCCCTAGTTTGGGTATCTTTGATTTAAAGCACCTGATTTTAACATTAGTGGATCATACACAAAGATAAAGTTCTGACAATTCACAGTTGCAATATGTCAATATATGTCTTTAAAATGTGTGTAAGTAAAGTGGCCTGGCCCTACAGTGTTCAGCTAATGCTTTTAGATCATTGTAAATAGTAATCCAAAATTATTACCTTAGAATGTCTCTTGCATGATAAACTAGCCTGAAGACCAGGAGTGCCCAAATGTTTTTGTATAAAAAGCCAAAAACTAAATATCAGTAAAAGCTGTGGGCCAAAGATAAATATGCCAAACTATTTTACATTAGATTTGCCATGGGTAATTTCCTAATTTATAAGAAATAGAAAACATTACTTTGAACAGTATTAACTAATGGAGTTTAACCTTTCAACTAGAACTGCAATAAAAACATAAACAATCACATTAATAACACAGAAGAGTTCAGTGCTGAATACACTAGTCAAGCAGAATCTGCCTTTGCCTTGATTAGCTCACTAAATACTCTGCATTATCCTCCGTCGTACATTTTAAATAAAATCTGAATAATTTACATAATTTAATTTCAGTTATTTTTTTTAGATTAAAGCTTAAATAAACAAATAGAAGGTGACATGAATTTGAAACGACACTAAACCATTCTCAGATGGGATGGCAGGTCAAATCAAAGGTAACTGTGGCCAAAGGGCCCTAGTTTGGGCATCTAATTGAAAGCATCTGATTTGACAACAGTGAATTATACACAAAGATGAAGTTCTAACAATTTAAACTTGCAATATGTCAGTCAATGTCTTTAAAAATTTTAAATATGTCCTGGTCCTACAGTGTTGATACTCAGCTAATGCTTTTTGACCATTAAAATAATAATTCAAAATGATTAATGTTATCTTAGAATGTCTCTTGAATGATAAACTATTAAAAATAAATTGAGGATTTGTTTGGTCTTACAGCCTGTAGAGCATCGGTGCCCAAACCCTTTTCATATGAAGAGCAAAATCTGACAGAGCTGTGAGACAAAGATAAATATGCCAAACTATTTTACATTAGATTTGCCATGGGTAATTTCCTAATTCATTAGAAATAGACAACATTACTTTGAACAGTATAAACTGATGGAGTTTAACTTTTTCAATTAGAACTCATTGCAATAAAAACATAAACAATCACATTAATAACACAGAAGAGTTCAGTGCTGAATACACTAGTCAAGCAGAATCTGCCTTTGCCTTGATTCACTCACCAAATGCTCTGCATTATCCTCTGTCACATTTGAAACTAAATCTGATTAATTTACACCATTTAAATTGAAATATTTATTTCAGATAGCTTTTGCAGCTTAACAATTAAGTGAAGTTTATTCATAAACAAATTTCGAGAGGATCACGTGCTTATGATTGTTCGCAGCTGTTTCAACTTTAGCTAATGACTGATTATCCTATCAGACGATCCTTAACTCACTATAAATAACCAGACTTTTCTCATCTCAATATCTTCGTCTAGAAGAAACCCCCCCCACCCAACCCTACTTTCCCTCCTTTCAAACGGGCGTCACAGTGGCCAGCGATTAGCGCTGTTGCCTCACAGCAAGAATGCCTCTGGTTAAATTTCTTTCCAAACCAGACGGCATTTCTGTGCGGAGTTTGCTTGTTCTCCCCGTGGTCGCATGGGCTTTCCCCGGGTCCTCCGGTTTCCTACCACAGTTCAAAAACAAGCACTCTAAATAATTAATCAAAATACATTAGCTAACCTCTGAGTACACCTTTCAGTATACATATCTGACACTTAGCTACAACAAGCAAAAAGGATAGTCATCGAGATCTACCTGAGCTCAAACTCTCCTCTCGCCTTGCAACGGGAGGGAGCCCAGGGCTCAAGGATCTTATAAGCTCAGGGCTCTCTCCCGGGACAGCATGCCAAACTAGCTTTACTATCAATCATCAGCTAAGTATGAACTCTTGAAATAAGCAATAAAGGTTCAAATTAAACTAGAAATTACAATCTCTAAACCGTTCTCAGATGGGATGGTGGGCCAAATCAAAGGTTCCCATGGGCCAACTTTTTAAGCCAAATTTGGGCATCTGTGATTTAAAGCACCCGATTTGACAGTGGATCATACAAAAAATAAAGTTCTAACAGTCCATACTTGCATTATGTCAGTATATGTTTTTAAAAATGGTCTAAATAAAATGGCCTGATCCCACAGTGTTGGTACTCAGCTAAAGTTAATGCTTTTTAATCACTTGATAATAGTCTTAAAGCCTATAGACTAATTTTAAGACTTGAAAATTTAGACTCAGTCTTAAACTCAACAGAGGTGTTCTTGACCACAGTCCTAGATTAAATCATGTGGTTTGTTAAATGAGTAAATATATGAAACAAATCTATGAAAGTGTGTCTTTATTGCTTTATTGACAGCACAGGTGCATTTAAACACAAAATTTCGTACATTAATGATGTTCTGGACTGAAACTGATTTGAACATTGCTCTATCTTCTTAAGCTTAACATGTTTAAATGTCACATCGCGCTCGCTGGTGGTCTAGTGGTTAGGATTCGACCCGGGTTCGATTCCTGTTTAGGGAATGAGATTTTTTCTAAAAGAAAGCACGTTCAGAATATTAACCGATTTTTAGAACTATTAGTAGTAGGCCTATACACTGAAGACCCATAGCAAGCTTCCATAGGGCAGAGCAGGATGAATAATGAGGATTCAGTTTGTTCTATAACTTCTTAATGACTATAAAACCAGAATCAATTTTTGCAGTGCAAGTTTAAATTCATGCGACCCTTCTTCTTTATGCAAGTCACTTAAAAAGCAAAACTATGTGAAACTGCTGTCAATTGTCAAAACTCTAACTTTAAAAGACTCTTTAAAATACAAAAAAGCTGAACTTGTATAAAATAAACATAAAATTACAGAACAGTGAACAGTGCAACAAAAATTCATCCACCAACTTCACTCTAGTCGACTTTTGTAAATAAGGCATTTTCTTCTCATCACTTCAGGATATCATCTGAAAAGCAAGAACATTAGCCATGTTAAAAGCCGACTATTATACAAATGAATATTAAAATAAATTAGCATTTTGAATGCACTTACATTTTTAACAGTCTCACGAATGAATTTCTTTCTGCTGCTCAGATTGAAGTCAGGATACTTGTCATAAACCTACAACAAACAGAAAGTTCATAGATCACAGCAGGATCTGGAATAATTTTAACTTGTCAAATTTTGACATAACAGAGTCTATATATTCTGTGATGAAGGAAACCGGTATTAATACAAAAGAAACAGGCTAAACGCATGCAATAAATTACTTGTCTTTTTCAGAATCAGAATCAGTTTTATTGCCAAGTGTGCTTCACACACACAAGGAATTTGTTTTGTCTACAGAAGCTTCCAGTGTACATAAAGTGACAACACAAAATAAATATGGAAAAAAGAAATACGATAAACATTAAACAGAGATGCAGTTAGTCAAGAAATCTGGATGTTGAATTGTATGTACAGATTTGTTATAAATATACAGGTTATACGGTGCTGTGTGCAAATGTGTATGGAGAAAGTATTGCATTGTATATTGATATAAGGTGCTGTGTACAAGTGCGTATGAGAAAGTTTTGCATGTTTATTGCACAGTTGAGGAATATGTACCTGTTCATGAGGTAATGGCCTGAGGAAAGAATGTTTACTGTGTCTGGCTGTTTTTGTGCTTGATGCTCTGAAGCGCCGACCAGACGGTAACAGTTTGATCAGGTAGTGTGCTGGGTGCGAAGTGTCCAGAGTAATTTTGCGAGCCCTTTTACTCACTCTGGAAGAGTACAGTTCTTGAAGTGTAGGAAGGGTAGTACCAGTGATTCATTCAGCAGTCCGGACTATTTCGATAGAAGTACAGTCTCTGCTGGGCTTTCTTCACAATAGAGTCTATGTGAATGTCCCACTTCAGATCCTGAGAGATGGTGCAGCCCAGGAACCTGAATGACTCTACTGCAGCCACAGTGCTGTTCGTGATTTTTAGGGGGGGGGGGGGGGTGCAGGGGGGTTTCTCCTGAAGTCCACAAACATCTTCACTGTTTTGAGCGCGTTTAGCTCCAGGTTGTTCTATCTGCACCATAACGCCAGCCGCTCTATCTTTCAGAAAGCTGGTGATCCATTAACAGGCAGAGCTGGGAACAGAGAGTTGGGTCAGTTTGTACTCGAGCAGTGATGGAACGATGGTGTTAAAAGCAGAACTAAAGTCCACAAAAAGAATCTCTGCGTAGTTCCCTGGTTTGTCCAGATGTTGTAAGGTATAATGCAGTCCCATGTTGACTGCATCATCTGCAGACCGGTTTGCTCTATAGGCAAACTGCAGGGGTGCAGCAGGGGTCCAGTGATGTCCTTCAGATATGCTAGCACCAGTCTTTCGAATGACTTCATGGCCACAGATGTTAAGGCAACAGGTCTGTAGTCATTGAGTCCTGTAATCTTTGCCTTATTGGGGATTGGGATGACAGTGGAGCGCTTAAAGCAGGATTAAACTTTGCGCTGTCCCAGTGATCTGTTGAAGATCTATGAGAAAATGCAAGCCAGCTGGTCAGCGCAGGTTTCCAGACAGGCTGCTGAAACACCGTCTGGGCCTGGTGCTTGCCTTCTCTTCTGTTTACTGAAAATCTGATGCACATTATCCTTACTGATCTGAAGTGCAGAGGGGGAGAGGAAAATGGCTGGAGTTGTTGATGGCTGTGTTGGGAAGTGGTCCGGGCTGTGTTGATGTGGTGTTGATGGCTGTGTTGGGAGATTTTTTACAAAACTCTTCGCAGAAATAGCAAAAAATGTGAACCCTTCAAACTGAATTCTGTCCCAATAAACGGAAATAACATACTTGTCGGGTTATCTGCTTCATTGTAACCTCCTCCAGCTTTGCGTCTTTCAGGAGGTCTTTTACGTTCTCCTTCAACTGCTCATCTGTTGGTGGTTTTTTGATCATCTTGATCAAAGGTTGATCGTCATCAGAGCTTTTGCTTTCATCTAGAAGCAGAACTACAGCATATTAATCTCTACACAATGCAAAACACAATATTTACCATTTCTATTATAAGTTTATGATATGACTACATTAATACCCTCTTGCTTGTTGTCTTTTTCTTTCGATTGCTGCTGCTGTCTGCTTTCTTAGTTTTCGGGACAGGTTTGCTGGAGCTTTTCTCTTTGCTGCAGGCTTTTTTTTTTCGTCTAGATATATTGTGCTGAAAATTGTTAGTTTAAATGCAATTTCTGCTGAAAGGATTTGAATCGGATCTGTGGCTGCAGTTATAAAATTGTACTCGTTTCTTACAGTGCCATAAAAATAATTGTTTTGATTTCTTTTAAAACTGTAAAAAATTGCTTTCATAGTGATCAAATTAAGCCTCATTATCTAATTCAGGTTTAAATTAAGTCAAATTATTTGAAATGTTACACAATATACATTTAGAATCATAAAAGATTCAATATGGTATGAACATTAATCTTTTAAAGTCATTACCAACCTTTTTTGCATCCTTGTCTTTACAATATGTGTCACTGTCATCGGTTGTCTCATCTGATGGACTCTGATCAGACTTCTTGTCAGATTTCTTTGTGGACTTCCCAGTGGAAGATTTCTTCTTCAGAGAAGATGTCTGTTGATTTGATCACACAACAAAAATCATTGAGTCACAACAGAGATCGAACTATAAAACCAAAAATGTGGGGAAAAGAATCTTTGTTGCATGTCATTTTTCAAGTCGCAACTAAACAAACCTGTTTACACTAGTGTTAACATTCATTTATCAATCTTATTACAAGTTAAAGCAACATGTAAACAGGGATTAAAACATTCTGAGCTTGAAAGTTCCAGATCCACAGTTCTCAAACATGCTCCTGTACCAGCGCTCTGCATATCTTGCATGTCTCTCTTGTCTAACACATATGATTTAGATAACCACCAGCTCATTAGAAGAGCTCACCAAGGGAAAAAACATGTTCAGATTTACATGTTCCCTATATAGTGTTCACTGAAAATCAGCTGAACTCAAACTTTACTTAATTTTAGTTTAAACAGATCTGCACTGTGTTGCTTGCAGCGTCATCAGATGAAACTTATTACACAATAGTGAAGGGTTAGTTAACCACAATCACTGCATTTGCTTCGATTGTCATGTCTTACAGTTTTGTGCCCTTTAAAATTGAAAACCTATCAGAGTTCAGACTGCACGATTTTAGCCTCGATTTTGTCTCACTGAGACATTTTGAGAAATCTCAGACAAATGCCTGAAATGACAGGCAAATCAGTGCTCGTAACAATCACACAGTGATTACGTTTACATCAACATCAGCAATGGAATTATTTGCCTTATTCTAATTAAGACAATAATATTATTAAAGCGTTTACATAAGCTGCTTTTTAAAAGTTTCTTTCATGATCCTGTTTTACATGTTATAGCACATAACTCGATTAACATCATCAGGTCACTGCGCTAGGACAACGGTATCTCATTCATTCATTCATTCTTGTCGGCTTAGTCCCTTTGACAACAGTATCTCCAGCAGAAAAAAACTATCTAAAGTTTTAAATTGTAAAGAAATCTGTGTTTTAAAAACAAATGAAGACCGCAGAAGTCAATTAATCAGCCTGATTTATTGAATTATTTAGCCTGACATGTTTACAGCTCCAAACTATTATAAATCTTAAAAAAATAAAATATATTGTTTTCAAAGGTAAAAAAAAAAAAAGTTTTTTTACGCAGACATTTATAAAGAATATATTTTAGAGCAGTGAGCACAATACCCTGATATTTTTATCCAGGCCTAATGGGCATACTCCACATGTCTTAATTCGATTTCCCTTTAGTTCGATTATGACCTTAATCTGGTTCAATAGTAAAAAAACTAAAATGCTGCAGAAGCTCAATGTATGGGTCACACTTTAGTTTAAGGTTCAATTCTTGCTATTAATAAACCATTAACTAAGACTTTTATCTCAATAAAATACTAATATGCTGCTTATTAATAGTTAGTAAGGTACGTTTGGGTATTGGGTAGGATTAGAGATGTAGAATAAGAATATAGAATAATATTTACTATTAAACAGCCAACATCCTAATCATAGGCAGGTAATACACCAGTCATTAATAGTGGGAATTGTTACTTGAATAAAAATGTCACCAGATTAACAGTAGGTTTCCTTACGATGAATCACAATAAATGAACTTTCCAGAATTCCCTTAGTGACTGTCAGAAAGCCTGTCCTAGGAACTTAAATTAGTAATTGTTTCCCGCACGGACATTTTTACATGACGCACACCAGTACGGACTGAATGCCATTCACTGTTTATGCCGCAGGTTATGCTCTGCAAATGCGTTTATGTTATACAAACACATACCCACCCATTCTTTGCAATATCTCCAGTGCATACCTCAGCTGCATATTCAGGACAGAAATAAATGCTCATCAGAAAGAATCTCTTCTCCACTCTTGATTTTCTAACCGAAATCAGATCCATATTTGGCCGCCTCAGCCAGCTAAAATCTTGAATGTAGTGGGACTTCACTACATTTTATGGTCCTTCGAGCCGGAGGAGAGCAATAATACACCAATATGGATCCAGCAAACGATGACGCATCAGAGACAATGGAAAGACCACGCCGTAAGACTCATCTCCCTTCTCACCTGGACGATTATGAGGTTGGATATCGACCCACTGAGGACCCTCCTCCCAAAGCTTCTTCCCACTGTCCCAGTAAGTCAAGAAGCAGCTCGAGGAAAACGTCTCATAGCGGTGTAAGCTCTCACTCCAGGACAAGTAGGCGATCTGTCACCTCCACAGGCGTTTATCTTCCACCTGAGCTCTCTAGCGTTCAGACTGCTATATTGGAGGAGAAGATTAAACAAAGGCAGTTAGACAGTCTTCGTCAGCAGGTTGCAGAGGACTCATTGGCTGATGTAGAATACCAGCGGCTACAGGCACAAGCTAAAGAAGCCCAGCAAGTTCAAGAGGAAGCTCTCAGAGCAAAGGAAACCTTATCAAAGCAGCTAGAAAGACAGCGTAAGCTGCAACAAGCAGAAACTGAGCTTGAGGTAGCTAAGCTTGTGTCCTCTATGCTTGTTAAAGACTCTGGTTCGACCACTCCTATCCATACAAGCTCACCCGGCAACCATTTGTCTCTATCTCAGCCTGTATGTGTCGATCAAGCCATAAGTTCATCTCATCTCTCATCCTCTTTCCAGCAGCCCGCTACTCAGTCACCCGCTGTGACGTCAACAATACAGACTTGTCATGCAGAGCAGGGTATTTCTGATGACTCCTGGGTGTATCAGCCATCATTTAGACCTCTGCAATTGACAGCTGAGTCTAAAGGTGCACCATTTACTGCAGTGCCACAAGGAGACTCATCGCCGGTCTCTAAGGTATCTCAGACTGCCCCTATAACTATGCCAGTTCGAACTGTGTTATCTGCAACAAATGTGATATCCCAACCACATTTGAGAGCTCCAGTCATGTCCACTTCTGCACTTCCTTTACATACAAGCATGCAGTCTATGCCACCACCGCCTATCACAGCCACCCCGCAGCTGGCTACGTCATATACTGTACCACAAACTGTAATACCTCCAGTGACAGCACATGCACATCTGTTACAGCCTCCAATCACCAGCCACCCGCCACCAGTTTTACAACCTACCAGCCTTAGCTATGTGCAGCCACCACCATTCATGCACAACAGTCACCCTGCACATATGGGTACAGAGCTACTGTTTGCATCGGCCTACGGCATCCCACAGCCTAAGTTACCAGTTTTTGAAAGCGGTAACGAGAGTGACTTTGCCCTGCTAAAATTAGCGTTGGACAATTTGTTGACTAATCACAACCATCTCAGTGAGCAATACAAGTACCATGTCTTATTAAGCCACTTAAAACTTCCCAGTGCTCAGCAGCTGGCCAAAGCCTACATGTATCATCCTCGTCCTTATTCAGCTGCACTACAGGCTCTTCAAGACAAGTATGGCCAGCCGCGACAGCT